CACGCCCGGAACGTACAACACGTCGGGGATCAGAATATGCTTTCCGGTCTCCCCTTTCAGGCGCATGTCGGCATTGACACGATTATGAGCTCGGCGAAGCATGGAGTTGCCATCGGTCTGGACATTGAGAAGTCAACTGGAGCCGATGTGCCGTGCACCTCCTGTGTCGGCGGCAAACTGGCGCGTCATTCTTTTCCGGAGAAGGGATCGGACGCTGAAACTGCGCTCGAAGTCGTGCACATTGACCTCTGCGGCCCCTTTCGCGTGGCGGCCATGGATGGGAGCCTCTATTTTTTCCTCCTCAAGGACCGCAAGACTCGCTTTGTGTGGGTCCGTCCGATCGCGAAAAAGAGCGACGTGCTCGGAGTGTTCGAGAAGTGGCTGAAGGAGGTGGAGCGGCAGACGTCGAAGTCGGTGAAACGGCTGCGCTCTGACCGTGGAGGGGAGTTCCTCGGTAGGGCGTTCACTAACCTGGTAGAGGACAAGGGTATCCTCCACAACCTCACCTGCCCCTACACTCCGCAGCAGAATGGCATGGCGGAGCGGGAGATGCGCACGGTCGTCGAAGCTGTGCGGACGATGCTGCTTCACATGGGGGTGAAGCATCACTGGTGGCACCTCGCCCTTCGCCACGCCGTCTGGGTGCACAACTGCCTCGAACGGGCTTCACTTCCTCCGAGGACGACACCGTACGAGCTGCTGTTCGAGAAGAAGCCGGATCTCACGCTGGCGCGCGTGTGGGGCTGCATGGTGCAGTTCATGATCCCGGAGCAGCAGCGTGGCGGAAAGTTGGCACCGAAAGCACGTTGGGGAATTCACCTTGGTGTTTCGCCAGAGAGCAAGGGATGGGAGGTTCTAGACCTCACCGCCAACCGCATTGTCACAACCGTGGAGGCAATCTTCTATGAGGCGATGTCTCTGGAGGAGTGGAAGGTGCAGCACGGGCCCGCGTCAGAGCGGACGCAGATTTCTCCTCCGACGGGTCCGCCGCCAGCGGCGATTTCGTTGCTCGAATCCGAGGACGATGGTTCTTCTGAAGATCCTTCTCCCTCCATTCCACCCTCGTCGAAACCTCCTCCTCCTCTTCTTGCCTCCCCCCCCATCGCTCGCTGCCGATCTGCCTAAGTCGGCATCGACGTCGGCCACCAGCGATGAGGGGAGCATTGGTGCGTCACCTTTGGTTCCGCCCATTGGCATCGCCGGCGGTCGACGTGATTTGGTCAGCAAGCAAGTCGGCGTTGGAGTGAAGTCTCTTCCGACAGGGGAGATGTCGAACGGGAAGCGCGTTTCAGAGAAGACGCCGACAGGGGAGCTCGCGAACGGGGAGCACGTTTCAGAGGAGCCGCCGACAGGGGAGCCGGCGAACAAGGAGCGCGTTTCAGAGGAGCCGCCGACAGGGGAGCCGTCGAACGAGGAGCTCGCTTCAGAGGAGCGGACGAGAGGGGAGCAGTTCGACGAAGGCACCTCGAGCGACGTTGTTGAAGTCATCGGCGGCGATGAAGGGGAGCTGTCGGCCGGGGAGCAGTCAAGCGACAGCGACGTGGTGGAAGTCTCTGCCGACATGCCCGCAGTTCGACGTTCAACCCGCTCTAACTTTGGCAAGCCTCGCGAAAAGCTGAGCTACCATGCTTGCCTGCCGCCGACCTCGTACAGCACTCTGCTCGACGATGCGCAGTTCGACGTCGACGTGCCCGAGCTCGACCCTGATATGCACGCTGACCCGGAGCACCGTTGGGACATCGCCAACATGACGGTGAAGGAGGCGTTGGCGAGCTGGAAGGGTAAGGCGGTGAAAGCGGCGATGGATGAGGAGATTCGAAGTCTCATCACCAACGGCACTTGGGAGCTGGTGGAGCGCCCGCGCGGCGTCAATGTCATGAAGAACCGCTGGGTTCTGACGACGAAGTATCACGTCGATGACACGGTCGCCCGCGAAAAAGCCCGTCTGGTGGTGAAAGGCTTCACGCAGATCTACGGAGCTGATTACGACGAGACGTACGCACCGGTCGGGAGCTACGTCACGCTGCGAATTTTTCTCAGCACTGTCGCCGTTCTCGACCTGCACCTCATGCAGCTAGACATGAAGAATGCGTTTCTGCAGAGCAAGCTCGACCGCGTGCTCTACATGGACCAGCCGGCTTACTACAACGATGGCACTGGCCGCGTATGCAAGCTGCTGATGAGCTTGTATGGGCTCTAGCAAAGCCCTCTGTTGTGGTACTCGGCGCTCGACGCTGTGCTGACGGGCGCTGGCTGGAACAAGAGCCAGGTGGACGAGGCTCTCTATTTCAGGGTTGGCGACGACGGAGTGGCGTGCTGGGTGCTCGTCTACGTCGACGACCTGCTCGCCGCTAGCAGCAGCACCGCGATGCTGAAGGAGCTGAAGGAGTTGCTGGAGGCCGCTTTTGAGCTGCGCGAGATCAGTCCGGTCGAGAAGTATTTGGGGCTCGAAAGCTGTGGTTGCACCAGCAGTCATACGTCGACAAGCTGCGTAGGCGCTTCATCGACGAGGAGTAGACTGGTCGGCGTCCGAAGACGCCTGTTTTCGTGGACGCCTACGCGGAGCTGACTTTCGACGATGAGGACTTCCAGTCTCGCGAAGAAGAGGAGTACCGTCAGGAGGTCGGTTCGCTGCAGTTCGCTGCCACGACAACTCGGCCTGACATCGCTTTCGCATGCAGCAAGCTGGGGTCTGGTCTGACAGTGAGGAGTGACCAGCACTGGCGTGAGGTCGATCGCTGTCTCACCTATCTTGCTGACACGCGCGATTTCGCTCTGGAGTTTGGCGGCGGACCCGAAACTCTGAAACTGGTCGGCTTCGCGGACACGGACGACGCTGGCGACAAGCAGACTCGCATCAGCACGAGTGGCTACGTTTTCACCTTCGGCGGCGCGGCTGTCTCCTGGATAAGCCAACGCATCAAGTGCGTAACTCTGTCCTCTACGGAGTCGGAGTACATCGCGGCCACTGAAGCTGGCAAGGAGGCTCGTCGACTTCGATTCCTCCTCGCCGAGTTCCAGCTCCTCGACCCTGGGACGCCAACTTCTCTGAACGTGGATAATCAGTCCGCCATCGCTGTTGCTGAGGGCTTGGGGCTGAAGGGCAACCTCAAGCACATGGAGCGACGCTACGCCTGGCTGCAGCAGATGGTGAAGCGCAAGAAGATTGCGCTGGAGTACATCCCGACATTCGAGCAGCCAACGGACTTCCTCACTAAGGCGCTGCATTTTCCGGCCTTCAACCGATGCTCCGTCGCGGTCGGCCAGGTTCGCCTTGCCGAAATCGGCGACGACGATGACGACGTGCAGCAGTAGGTGCCATGTCCTCTAAAATGGCTGGTGCGGTGATCGGCGTGCGGGAGTATGCACGCCACAGAAATATCCCCTTGTATTCTATTACTTAGGTTCTGGGTGGACCTTGTGTGTGGGGGCCCAAGCTTGAGCTGGGCAGGGGAGTGTCGGAGTGAAAGGCCCCGCCCTCGCTTGGGCGCAGGCATTCTCTGCGACGACGTGGTGAATTCGACGAAGTGATCGTCGCATTGGATCAGCCCGTCCTCTGAAACCGCAGGTGTTTTTCGAGGAGGTTGTCCTCTGATTCACCACCTCATGAACGAGCTCTGGTCGACGGGGTGCTGTTCGACGAGCTCGTCTTCTGATCTGCTTCTGGGTCGCGCGATCTCTGACGGACGGGGTGCTTCCCGAGGAGCCGCGTTCTCTGATCGAAGGGCACTGTTCGGCGAGTCTCATCTCGGCGAACTGGCTGGCCGAATTCGCGCGACTACGAAACTCTGCAGGGGCATGCGAGATTCGCTCAGGTGGCTCTTAGCGAAATTCGACCTACGAAATGGCATCACGTGCTCGACGGTGGACACCAGACGAAACTGTCGGAGCGTTTTCTACCTGGCACCTGCGCAATGTCTCTGACGGTGCAATCGTCTACCTGCACCTACTCGGCAGGTGCACACCTGCGCAGATATTCACCTGCGAATGCAGCGCTGGCAGGCCGCCCTGTTGCAGCGCTGGCATGGCGCCCTTCTGCTACGCTGGCAGGCCGCCCTGTTTCAGCGTTGGCGAACCGCTCTGATGCAGTGCTGGCAATTCGCCTTGCAGAATTCTTGCTAGGGATTGCAATGCCATTCCAGTGATATCACTTGCATGTTCTTCTTTGTACTCTTATTCTCAATTTTCAATGTTCTTTCAATTTCCTTAGTGGAAACTCTTGCCAAATTTCTCAGTGAACACAGCAAGTAGTAAGAACTCTGATAGAACGCTACTAGAGTGCTACGATCACCCACACAACTCCGTGCTCTCCTTCGTAGTCCACTCCCGTTGTAGGGTGACTCTCCGCAACACCAGAGGCGGATTTGAGACCGACATTCTAGTTGAGTCCCTCACTCTGCCGAGTGCTCGAGTCAACTTATAGCATGATGATTGCACCGTCTCTCCCCCTTCCCCCACGGAATACTATTTTCCCGACACCCTTTCACCACTTCGGCCTCCTGCTCTGACCACTTCGTCTTTCACCATCGCGGAAATGTCGACCGGCCAATTTTGACCTCCGTGGGTTTTTCTACGCAAATCCATACAAAAAGTCCCCAAACCCACCAGAAACGTCCCACAAATTTTGTGACACAAATGTAACGCATACCCGCCTGCCCACATTCCCTCTCCTTCGACCCTCGGACCGCAAAATTAGGGCTGGACATCGAGTCGGCCCGGGAAGACAGAGCGCGGCCCGTCAAAAAGAGTACTTCCGCGCCCAAACATCAGCACTTCCGTCATACGCGCATCACCATAATGTTGTGCATATGTGTACACCTACGCACAACACCATGTAAACAATTAGGGACATAAATGCCTCAACACCATCATCCGCCCCTAAACTGTTATTGTGTTCCACAGCCACGTTTTACTACTAACGTTTTATCCTACATTTAACACGACCTAGCAAGAAAAATAAAGGCACGTCCGTGAGCGCGTCCCACATAATACCTCAACCTCTACTCGCACAGGAGGAACTTGTTGAGCAGCAGCACCTTCTTGCTCACGTACAACTTGCAAATGTGCACCACCCGCTTGATGCACTCCACATCCACCACAGCGTACCGGGTGTCCACCCTCTCAGGAGATAGCTGCACACATGTAGTGACTGGGCATAGCCCAGCCGCCTCATAATACTTGACGTACACGTACGCCCCTTCCTCTCCTTCTGCGTTCTTCGCACGGAACACGCACAAGCACCTTGCGTACCACTCCTTCTCCTTCTCTTTCTTCTCCTCAGCCTTCACCGCCACATCAGAGAACCAGTTCTCTGATGGGCTTGCCTTCACAAACGTGCCCTTGGGCACTAGCTCCCCTCCACGTGTTCTCGAAATGGCCAGCGCCGTGTGCACCTACACAGCACATGCAACAGAGCACTCTGGTCATGAGACGCCCCCACCCATCACATTCCTACAGCCCAGTCACTTGGTCGCACACATGCGTCAGTGTCACCCTACATTTGCGCGTACGCGGCAATTGCAAAACAGGTCATCTCACCTTGATGTCCGGTGTGTTCACCCCGGCCTCATGGAGACATTGTCCAAGCCCATCCATGTCCGAACCAAGAGCCTCACGATACACCCACAGAACAGGGTCCTCTTCGTTCCTCACATTGGCACATCGCGACCGCCACGTCAGCACGTGCCCTTGAAGACGGGCAGTCTGCCGAAGGGACCACAGGGGTTTTTCATCGCACACACACGCACCACGGCATACACAACACACTTCACAAACACTCAGTCTCAATACACACTGCACGACACCCCAATACCACATCCCAATCACACCCGCCAAATGCCACTTGCATTTCGTCCACCCTCATCTACAATGTTCCATCTCCTCCTTCTCCCGCACGTGGTCATGTAATGACCCCATGTCTTCGCGGTGCTGTGGCCTGCTCACCTCGCGCAATGCCGTTACGTACTGTCGCCCCATAGCGGCCACCTCCCGTGTGATCTCTCGCTGCACCTCTTCTTCCACGATGCGCCGTAGAATGTCCTTCCAGTTGCTGCCCCGGACCAGGTTCTTCACCGTTCCCTTGTGCGTGTGCTCCCAAAGGTTGGTGGAGTACTCCCACGGCATCCCACGGAGGGGAATGGCATCAATGAGGTGCACAATCTGGTGCACCTTCGGAAAGTTCCACGAGGACTTCTGATCCGGAAAAGCGTCCCCGATTGCGTCCATCATCCTGCACGCAGTACCGTTCAGCACGCACCCACCCACCCGCATGAGACATTGCTCATGCCATGACGCAATCGCAGGATTCCTCATATAGACCACACAGCACCGCCCGCCTCGCCCCCCCTCCCTACGCCGCCTCCACACCTCCGCATGTGCAGGCAGCAATGCTCATAACACTCCATCCCACACAGCACAGGTCCGTGAATCCCCCACCCACACTAAACGATAACACTATTCCTACACCACCCCTGCATACTTCACTTTCACCCTCCCAAAACCCCCCCCAACCACCAATGTCATCCTCCCCCAACCCCATCAACCCCCTGGTCCCCCATTCCCCCCTCCCCACCCCCCCCCCCCCCCCCCACTCACGCGTAGGCAGCCGTGCGGACATCACGCAACGTCTGCTCCGTGTGCTTTGGGACGCCAACCAGTGCCTTGTAGAACATTGCGTACTTTCTAAACGCCCGTACCTCCTTCGTCCGCTGCTCCACCTCCGCCGGCTTGCAGCCGTCCATGTTGTCCGCGATGAGAATGGGCATCACTTGCATCATCCCGCGGTTCTCGAACGCGGCATAGTTTGCCCGTGTCCTGAACCAGGATGCCCCGCCGGGGATGCGGACAACCGTTGTCCTCGTGTCCTTCTTCTGCCCCTTCTTGCACCTGTACAGGTAACAACACTGGCACGCAGTCACAAACAAGGCCCCTAGTACGGACAATCGTACATCATGTATACGACGTCCATTACCTTTCAAACTCACGCCACTCTGGCTTGCTTTTCCCCTTGATGAAGATGTCAGTGAGGTGCCCCAACATCCCGCCGTCCAGCACGTGCAATATGTCCGCCACGCACGCCAAAAAGACATTCCCCCACTCCGTCTCCGCGAAATTCCACCTCTCCAGGAAACACTGCCCACGCAGGAGGGATGGTGAGACGCTCATATGGAGACAATCACTGTTATGCCGTTCACCTACCACCTCATGGTACATAGCATACGTCGCCAACTACACATACACCAAACCACTGTGCTTCCACGTGACATCTCTCCATCTTACATGCACGGGGTGTGTCGACCACCGGCGCATTATTTTGCCCGCCTCGTCGCTTGAGGGCGCATTCAAAATAGCCTCCACCGTGCGCTGGTGCAGCTCGGTCGTGCGCACTGTCGTCTCTGTCTTCAGCTCCGATAGATGCACCCTCTTAATGTAGCACGAGCTGCAAGGCCTGTGTGACCTCTGCTGCATCGTCGCAGTGGAAAGAGAAGACTCCGGGTAGTCCCCAACCTCCGCAAACAAGCAAGGGTATGCCTTCACCACCTTTCCCGAGGCATCCGTAACGTAGATGAACTTGAGTTCCGCTCTGCAAACGACATGGCCATCGACACACTGTCATGCAGCACCAGTTCATCCCAATCCGTCCACATACTCATTCACGACACTCACCCTCTGTGCTCTCTCAGAAGTGGCTAAAAAATCACGGCCATGGCCTCCTGGAACACGCGCGTCTTCACCGTAGAGGTCGCCCACTTAGGAGGGAACGAGAGCACCCCTGCGAGCACTTGTCCTGGTTCAAGCCACCTCAGCCGCTCCAGGATGTTGAAGAGGCTTATCAGGACCGGCCACGCTTGTAGCCTGCCGTTCGACGAAGCGTGCGTGCTGTCGCTGTACACTATAACACCCAGAATCATCCCCTTCTGGCCCGGACGCGCCGCCTGCACACCGAACCCCCTCATCAGCCGTCAACACCAATGCGGATTCCTCTAGCCGTCATACCTCGCGCATCTAAGCCACAACACACCATCGCAAGTCATGAGCGGCACCCGTCCAACTCACATGCGCTTTCTCCAACCAAATGCCCGTGTCAGGTGTGCTGAAATGCCTTTTCCCCTCGCAATCCTCCTCGTCTGTCCGAGGCTCTGACACGAAACCCTCCGAGTGTATGAACGTCCGCACCAGCTTCTGCACCAACTGTCACGAGTGACATGACAAACATACACTCCGTTACATCGCAATGCAGGCAGCTCACCCTTGGGGACCTTCGCCGAGACAATAACTACCTCCCAACAACCGCTCACCATTTTCGTGTTCCAGTAGTGCAGCGGCAGTCTTGCCAACTTTCCACCGGGTCCATAGCACTTTATCTCCGTTTTCAACCACGGCACGAGGTCCGAAGGCGCCATTGCTTTTCCAAAACGCCTCACGTCCACGTAGTTCAGCCAACTCCTGATGTCCCTCACCGAGAACCTTGGGTTGCTGAAAATGGTCAGGAGCCTGTTCACCTCTCGTCTGGAAAGGTCCGCGTCCCTGAAAAAGATGTACATCTCCATCAGCGTGTCAAACCCTTCATCGTTGCTGCTGACGTCGCTCGCATCGCCGTCCGCGACCGGTTTGGATGCTGCTCTCCGCTCTTCCTCTTCGTGATGCTCTTCCACCCCCTGGCTTGCATCCGCGACCATCTCGGTTTGACGTGTCCGAACCGGGGACGGAGCGGGTGCGCCCCGCATTGCACGCATAGCCTCTCGGGACGCCTCCACCAGTCGCTCCGCCCTTGCCTGGTGTATCTTCCGTCGGCATTGCTTGTTGCCGGCAAGGTGTGACTGCAGCGTGTTGTCGTCAACGTGATCTAAGCCGCAGGCCTCGCACGCGTTGCCTAACATAGCTGCAGACGAGGGTGAAACCCTAATTTGTGTTATTGTCCCACAATCCCTATACACCACAGGCCCAGGGTTTCAACCCTCGTTTCGTCATAGCGCTACCTAGAGTTAACCCTGACACATCAGCCCCGACTTCTGTTCTTCCCATGTCGCTGAACGGGGTGAAGATCCCATCCCACGTGGCACTTGAACACGACAGTGAGCCGGCGACACTGTTTTGTGATGCGATGGCATATGTTATTTGGTAACGCCACATTCGTCTAGACGAGCGACACTACTGGTGCCATGCTTCCACCCATTGGACGAGAAAGATGATGTTCCAAGATGATCACTTGTACGCCAATTTATACGCGTTACCACCAAACACCGTTGTCAAGCAACATGAGGTGTTTCCAACATTGTATATGCTTCCAACTATGAAATACCACTTCCCTCAATTCAACAACATTACATATCTGGGCCGTTACTCTCAACTCTGTCAAACGCATTTAAAGACTTTAATACATAACAATGTAGGTTACTACCCACGTGGCCTAACACCCTTTACCAGCCGCCTAAACCATCAACCGTGCTCCTCTAAGGAGTCTCACCCAATGCGCACAGACCAGGTAAGGTATGCTCCACTCCGCCGGCCCCTGTGCCTGCGTCTTCTCAGGTGCCGCACGATGCAATGCAATCCACGGCGCCCAGAGCGCCAATACACCAGCGATGGCGTCAAAGTGAACTAAAGGCATGCACATCACTCAACGAGAAGCGGGGGTTCCTTATCATAACCACCAGCCTATCAGCGTCGCGATTGCACAACCCTGGGCTACTGAATAGATGGAACAGCCTTTGAAGATCATCATCAGAGGTTAAGGCGTCCTCGCTTAGCACCGTACCGTTGTCGGAATGAGATACATCCCTATGCCAACCTTCCATGAGTCTCACATATTCTCCCCGGCGCTCTCGGTTCGTCACGTAAGGAGGAGGAGAAATCATGGCCACACAGCGTGCGTTATACCTCCTGTGTGTCCGCAACACGGTATTGTCTACGAATTCCCCACCGCACACTTCGCAAACATGCAGTGGCCTGTCCCTGTCTACCAATCCAAGGGACGGGCAGGGTGGCTTCCGGTTTCCATCGTCCATAAAGGTCATCGCTGCTTCGCAGCAAACCTCGGTCCTAACCAGTAACAGAACACAGCCGTAATGAAGCTTGTTCTGTAGGGCACCACAATAGCTTGGTTAATGCTTCCTTAAAGGGTTTCGGTGCTCTGGTGCCCCCGCTGACTGGTGAGAACCGGCCGTACCCGTTATACATAAACTAATTGCAGAATGTACAAAATCAGCACTTTCAGTATTAGGGGTTTCACTAAATTCAGCACTCACTAGACGCGCCACTTTCTACAACCCCTTTCCAACATGTGGCCGCCGAGATGCCAGTTGTGCACAACCACACCTCATCCAACCGTGTGGACGCCGATAACTTGTATCTCCAATCGTAGCACACCATGTGTGCCACTGACGTGGCCTTGTGTCCTACTCGTGTACAACGTGCGGATTGCGTCTGTGAGGTGCACAAATCGGACAGTCCTTGCACTTGCACACAAGGAGCCCTTCCCCTCATGACGCGAGCGTCATATAACCGCACACGGACGCTCGTCTCCAAGCTATTGTCTTTCCCATGGCGGCTCTTGTGCAGCTCCTGGAGTCGCTACACGCTCACCCGGAAGACGTGTTCTGCTTCGTCAAGACGCCGCTCCTCGCGACGACTTTGCCACTCACGTATAATGTGGAGCCTGACACACGGTACCGACTGAAGTGCGAACTTCGTGTTTGCCTGCTGTTTAACGCGACTGGGTCATCGTCGCAACCGCCGATTGTCGTGACGTGTCGTGCTCGTGCCCGCCCCTACCGCCCGCTCTTCCCGGACGGCAAGCCCGTGCATCTGCGTGAGACGAGATCTGGGGAACTCACGGCCGAGGTGCGTGCGTGAGCTGCTCTTGTATTGTGCACCTGCTATGCAACTAATCACACGTGGTCCTCGTCATGTTTGTCTTCCCCGCTGTCACGCAGTGCTTCACCGAGTACATTGACACCTTCGACATGGATCGTTTTGGCCACAGCAAGTCCGCCATTGTCCTCGTGGCGACCTGGACCCGGCCTGTGACGAGAGCACGATACAACAACAACCAAGATAGTTTATCTCGCGGGTGTCGTTTCGACATACAACCTTCCGTGGTTCAACGGGGTGGTCGAGATGTTCAAGACGATTTTCCGGTCCCGCTACCTCGGCTTCATCATAAGGGACTCGGCGTGGCTGTCTAAGGGCGCAATGCCCGTAATCGCCTACGAGAATGTACTGCTATGGGTAGGGTCTGCCAACGATTGCACTCCATCCAGGGCTGTCCATCTCTCGTGGGCTAGGTCTGGGATGTTGCCCATTGCGTGGAGGCCGCTCCTCCATCTGACGGATTATCCTGCAACTTGTGTCACTGTGGAGCCACTCATAACCCAGCTCGTCCGTCTGCAACTTATGATAAACAAGTTCAAGAAGGGCGACACTGGCATCATGCAAGCCCCCGAATACGCGGCGTGCGACACTCGCATTCTCGCAATCATCGGCCGTGACGCTGCCGTCGCAGACGTCTTAGCGGTGGAGATAACCGATCCGTTGATTATGCCAGCTGGGCCGAGACTGCACGACCCTCGTAGTCGCCGTAGAGTAGTGCGCGCCGTGACTAAGACGTACATACGAACCGCGGCTGAAATGGGCATTCTTCCACGGGACTTTCCTGAGCGCACTGGTCTGTCTAACGACGACGTCATCAACCGGCTCCGTCGCACTCCAACTAAGCGGCCTCGTCTGAGCGGTGCGCGCCCCGCAGTGGCTGGGTATAGCGACAGCGATGGCTTAGACGGAGATATGTTGCGGTGCAACAGCTCTCCTCTCGCATCATCCGTTAGTGGCAACAGCTGACAGGGCTGACGCTGACTGGATGTCGTTTGTCGTGGCTTGTCAATGCAACCTTAGTGAGAATAAGAACGAGGAATGATTGCATTGAGCAGCATGAGGAGTACAAGTAGGAAACCCTAAAGTGTTGTACCCCATATGAACTACCCCACTACAGCCTACACAGACTATGAGCATATAAGTTTGACACACCCTCATAGGCAAAGTGGGGGAGAACAAGAGGTCACAAGACCAGTCAAGAGAAGCAAAGCAAGCTCAGGGTGGATCACAACGTCACTACACATTCTGAGCACCAGTTCAAGGCCACAAGGCCAGTTCACATGCAGGATTATAATGCAAGGTGAACAAGCAAGACAGTGATCTCAACCTAGCAAGGGTAAGCATGCAGGTGCAGGTATATATAGATCAAAGCACAAACAAAGTCAAGAGGTACGCAAGTGAGGCCCGGTAGGCACAAGACCTAGCATAGTACAGAAACGCTGATGATCACAAGGCTGAAGTGCCTTGGTAAAGATATCAGCAGTGTTGGCCTGAGAGGCCACGTAAGCAAGACGAAGCTGACCACGCTGCTGCAACTCTCGAGCAAGGAAGTAGCGCAGAGCAATGTGCTTCGTTCTGTGCTCCAGTCTGTGCTCCTGACACAAGGCCAGCATGGCCTTGTTGTCGACGTACAGAACTGGAGGAGAACGAGGCGCCTCTCCCAAGTCGGTCAGCAGGTAGGTGAGCCAGCGTAACTCTTGTGCAGCCATGGCCCCAGCGTAGATCTCAGCCACACAACTGGAACCGAGAACAGAAGACGAGCGGGTAGACCGCCACGAAACAGAGCCGGAACCAAGGCTGAAGGTGTAACCCTGTGACGACCGCTGCGTAGCCAAGTCGTCAACCCAAGAAGCGTCAGCGTGACCAGTGAGGACAACTCGAGCCCGTCCTCCAAGCACGAGCCCCATGCCCGACGTACTGCACAGGTAGCGCAACACCCTCTTAGCTGCAGCCATGTGCTCTGGTCGGTGTCTCCCAGGAGCAACATAGCGTGCCAAGATGCTAAGAGGGTATGCCAGGTCAGGTCGAGTGCAGGTCATCAGGTACATGAGGCAGCCAACAAGCTCTGGGTACGGGCCACTCGGCTCTACGGACTCATCCGAAAGCAGAGCTGAGAGCGAGTGGCGAGTAGACAGAGGAGTGGCCTGAGGCGAGGAGTACGTGAAGTTGAAGCGCTGAAGGACCTGCTGCACCATGTGTGACTGAGTCAAGGTAATGGTGCGCCGTGCTCTGTCCCGGGTGATCTGCAAGCCAAGATAGCTGCGCAGTTCACCCAGATCTGTGCACGTGTGTCTCTTCAGCAGCTTCGACTTCACGTGGGCGAGTCCCTCAGTGTCAGCAGTAGCAAAGACCAAGTCGTCGACGTACACGAGGATGTAGAACGGCGGCAGCGAAGTGTCGGTGCGCAGAAACAGCGACGGGTCAGCAGTAGAAGGAGCAAACGCAAGAGCCGCAAGCGTAGTCCTCAGTGTGTGGTGCCACTCACGCGGCGCCTGGCGGAGACCGTAGACTGGCCGCCGGAGGCTCCACTGGGTACCAGGAGGAAACGACCCAGTGAAGCCAGGTGGGCGGCGCAGCCAGATCTCCTCGTGCAGGCTGCCCTGTAGGAAAGCAGTGCTGAAGTCAAGAGAGTGAAGCTCGTAGTCACGCCGAGCAGCGACGTGCAGCAGAACCCGAAGAGTGGTCATCTTCGGGGTCGGGGAGAAGGTCTGGAAGAAGTCAACTCCCTGTCGCTGACTGAAGCCTCGAGCAACGTAACGCGCCTTGAAGACATGCGGAGAACCCGGCGGCCGCTTCACCCTGAAAATCCACATGCCACTGACGATGTTCGCCCCAGGAGGGGGAACCTCGTCGACGTAGGTGCCTGTGGACTTCCAGGATGCCATCTCTGCGTCCATGGCTGACTGCCACTGAGAGGAGTAGGGACCCGCAATCGCCTCCCGCGGGGTTGGGATGTTTGGTGCATCCGGGTCTCCCTCAGGGGCAAGCAGCATGGGCACAAGATGAGGCGCAGCCACAGCAACGATTACGTCACCATAAAATTACTGAACAGTAATCCGAAGCGGTGTCACGGTTCGGAGACTACGTGGTGACATTCATGTAACGTTGCGTGTGACGGTAATGTGTTGTTCCCGAATCTTTTGCGTGACGGAAAATTTAGGTTTCCGTCACTGGGTAGGTGACGGAGCATTCTGGAACTACTGTCCATGACTTGTCCGTGACTGAAAAAGGTCACGGAATAGTCCCGTGAAAGTGACGTTTCTGTCACTTTCCTGACTTAGCATTTCCGCGATGACCAACTCCGTTTCCCATGATTCCCTCCCGCCGCCAGCAAGTTTCTCCTGCACTGGAACGTCACCAAGAAGAAGGACAGAATCATCGCCGCGATCGAGGCGAAGCAAGGCAGCGGTGGCGAGACGGGCTGGATGTCCATTGGCTGGACGAAGTTAGCTACTCGTAGCTCCATGACTCCCGCTGACGCTGTGGTGGGGAATCTGAAGCCACCCTCTCCTAGCGTGGTGGCCTACACTATGAAGGGCAAGGCTTTTCCCAACGCATTCAAGAAGATACCAGCAACTTCTGCGGTGCTGAAACTCTCTGCATCTTTCGTGGTTACTGCTGACGGAGTTGGCAAGATCGTCAAGTGAGTTTCGTCTGCTCCCACTGTGCGAACCCGTAGGCCGGAAATCGTATGCCATCATGGCACGTTCTTGCACCTCCGAGGTCGTGTCTGGTTTTTATTTTGTGGCGCTCCTTTATCAATTTCATGTTCACGCGCTCGGGCAAGGGCATTCTGGGTCCTGTCAGTTACACGGGTGGTAACAACTCTGGGCCTACTCCGACACCCAGGATTTCATCTCCCACACCAGGAAGTAAAACTTTATGCATCACGAGCCGATTTGCGGCATTTCTGCTTTGGTTATGGTTTCTGTGAGTTCTTTATCTCGTTGAACGTTCCAAAAGAGTCATGATTTGCCTAACTTTCTGTCTTTTTTCTTCACCAGGGGTAGCATCGTCGTCAATCTCGCATGCAAGGTGTAATGGCGGGCCATGCCTCATCTCCGGAGGACGGTAGTACAAGTTGTAGAGGGACGACGTTCAGATGTCGCATCGAGAATCAGCAACAAGGGTGTGACAAAGCTGCCGCTGACGCCATTAGGTTTAGCAAGGGTGTGGTCCTTGTTGCTGATTGTTGATGCAAAGTGTCATGAGCAATACATTTTAACCAGTGTAAGCTTACATCTTGCAAACGATCCGCCGCACTGAAACTCAGGCACACCTCAAGTGAGTTGTTCCTGATCTTTGGGAGAACGTTCAGTAGTTTCGTCACGAAATCTCAAACATGCCAAGAAGCGAGCGTAGTGCAATGAGGGAAACCCGCGCACACGATCTCTGCATCACCAAGATAATAGCATCTTGGTGCTCACGCGTGCATTGGTGCTCACTAGCGCTCGGTCACGTAGATTTTTTTGATTCGAGGATCTAAATCCTGCCCGTTAATACTTCGCATACGCTTATTTGCCTCGTGCTGGCGTCGCTCACAGCACTGGCGTCGCTCACACCACGGAGCAACTCTCAAGGCTCGACGGAGTAAGGCACGATGGACAAGATCGGACTCTGTGAGTTACACGCCCACCAGGAAAAATTTAAGCATAATGCTGAGCTAACGGGAGTGATGTCAGGAGGTGGGAGCGTTTTATGTAGGGGTTAGGGACGAGGGGTTGGGGAGAAGGGTGGGGGAAAGGAGGAGGTTTTGGAGTGGAGATGGGGAAGAGGGGGGTGAATGGGGAAGAGGGGGGTGAATGGGGGTGGGCGGGAGATGAGGGGAGATGGTTGTAGGGTAGCGGAGCGGAAGGTTGCAGGGCAACGGAGGGGAACGAATGTACCGTAGAGGGGCGGGGATACAGAAGTGAGTGAGTGTAAGGAAAATTCCTTTTCCTTATTTCGTGTCCCTGCTCAGCGCGTACACCACTGTTACCGCCAACAGCACCCAACAGTAATCCGTTACCACTCGCGACATTCGCCTCAGCACTGTTCCCGCCACTGATCACGACGCGACCCAACCTCACGGTTCGGTTGGTAACCGGCGCTCCGGACTTCCGCCTCGTCATTTCCCAACCTCGGCGCCAGGCCCGTCGCGCACCTCGCATTACCGTTACCACTGTAGTTTCGCTATATATTCTTCGCTCATGCCTTCGCTCATCGTACTCTTGCTTCGATAGTGCAATCTTCGTTCGTTTACTCAATTGCCCTCGTAACAGTGAGCAGGATGTTCTGCTGCTTTTTACGGCATTTATTATATTTGTATCAGAACATCGAGCTGACAAATTATTCACTGTTTGCCGAGAAAGCTTCAAACGAATTCTGCGGCTAGCTTCGAGCCGCTACCGTGTGTCAGCAATTGCAAGGTTGTGTTTCAGCAGGTTTCGGAGTAGAATCTGGCACGGATGTCGCACCCGGTGGGAGAAAGTCCACTGGTCACGAGCACACGTCGGACTGGCTCGCTATGAAATCAAGTTTAGTTTCTGGTTTCGGGCGTGACTTTTGAGAACGGGTTCAAAATGGAAGCAGGCAGCCCAACATGTGCAGATTCAAAATGCAACTTCCCGCCAAAGCACTCCGCGCTGTGCCTGGCATTGCACCGAAATGTGTCAGTAAGCACATTTTGAAAGGTGTTTCTCCAGCTGTTCTCACTACTGTAGTAGCTCAGCTTGATAGGCAATCAGGAAATCCTAGTTAGGCCACGTGTGTTTCTCGCCGGGACGCCATGAAAGGAGGCGGATGGAGCAAAGGGACGCGCGGCGTGCGAGGAATGGATCAGCAGCACCAGTATCAGCAACCCGTGGCAACAGGACGAGCAGCGTACGAATCAATGGACATGCCCAATATGGGCATGGAGAGTCGCGATTACGGGCAGGAGGCAGCAGCGTGGGCGGATGAGAACGGTAACGAGGATTTCGGACCGGTCGGGGTGAAAAAGAGCCGAGTTTCGTCCAACATGGGGAGCTCCACGTGGGAGATGAACCGGCAGGAGGTGAAACGCAGTCGTACGGGCGAAGAAACGCCGTACGACGGGCAAGGCCGCTCCGCGATTCCGGATCTGCAGAGCCGATCGAAGCCGGTGGCGGGGGCGAAGCGGGAGAGCGGGCTATACGAGAGCGGCGCGTGGAGCAACGGCGTGTTAGGAGACAGAAACCCCAACTTCGAGAACGTCGCGAGCGTCGGTAACAGTCGCCACGTGGAGGTTAACGACGTGGAAGAGGAGGAAGACGAAGAGGCGGAAGAAGAGGACGATTTAGCTGCTGAGCCGTTCTTAGATCATTCTTTAGAATTCGCGCCTAACGTCCTGTCGTCTATGGTCAAAGGCGAAGCAGGAGACGCTAACAACGATCGCGCGAATCTCGGCGGAATTGACGACTGGGAGCAGGAGGAGCGGGAACGTGCGCGGGAGCGAGAGCGAGAGCGGGACGAGGAGGAAGAGGAGGAGGCGGATGAGGCGGTGTTGAGAGCGGTGAAGGGGCCTGCACCACATCGCGACAGCTACAGCCCGAAAGACAGTCAACGCTACAGTCAACGCGGCAGTCAACGGGATAGTGGACGAGACAGCCAGAGCTACAGCCGGAGCAACGGTGTTAGCTACAACCGAAGCAACGATCCTAGCAACAGCCGGAGCTACAGCCACGGGCAGCGGCAGGGAGGCGACAGTCTTGCGAGTCGCGGCGACGCCAGCACGACCCCCAGCGCGCCGCCCGTTTCCGCCATGAGCGGCGGCCCGCCCGCGCGCGCCGCGCCCGGCGCGCCCACCCGCGCGGCGCCGCAGCCGCAGCGGCCAGAGGCGGGCGGAAGCGGAGAGCGGGAAAGCGCCGAGTCGCTGGGGGTGAGCAGCGGAAGGTGGAGCGGCGGGGGGCGGTCCGCGATTGGGCTGGGGCGGGAAAGCGCGCTGCGCCTGAGCACCGTGCGGGAGGAGTCGGGCGCGACGACGGACTCGCCGTCGCAGGCGTCGCAGAGGTGAATCGCGCAGGTCGCATGTTCGCGAGTTTGTCGCGTAGATTGGTTTAGATTGAAAGATGGCAATAGCGATTGGAAATGAAGGTTGCAGAGACATGCGGTATGACGCGTACGTGGCATGATGGGGATGTGGGATAACGAAGATATATGCGATTTACGAAGGGGGTAAAATCCGTTTTTTGCAGGCAGCATACGGACGCAGCATATTGGGTGTGTGGTTTGGAAACGCGATGATTACCTGGGGCTGTAGCGCGGGGTACTCTGGCGGCTGTAGTACGGGGTGCTTTGGAATGGCCGTTGAGATTATTCCCCCGCCCGTCACAGTAATGTGTTCCCCCGCCCGTCCCTCCTCCTCCACCCCCCTCTCCCTCCCGCCGCATCGTTTCACTCTTCCCCCTTCCCCATTCCGCCGCCCCCCCCTCCCTTCGCCCTTCCCAGCAGGGCGGAGCGTGCTGGAGCAGAGACGCCTCTGTCTCCCCACACCCCCACCACGCCCCATCGCACCACCGAGCATTCGCTTTACAGAGCACTGCCCCCTTCCCAGCAGGGCGGGGCGTGCGGGGGCAGACACGCCTCTGTCTCCCCACACCCCCTCCCCTCCACCACGCCCCATCGCACCACCGAGCATTCGCTTTACAGAGCACTGCCCCCTTCCCAGCAGGGCGGAGCGTGCTGGAGCAGAGACGCCTCTGTCTCCCCACACCCCCACCACGCCCCATCGCACCACCGAGCATTCGCTTTACAGAGCACTGCCCCCTTCCCAGCAGGGCGGGGCGTGCGGGGGCAGACACGCCTCTGTCTCCCCACACCCCCTCCCCTCCACCACGCCCCATCGCACCACCGAGCATTCGCTTTACAGAGCACTGCCCCCTTCCCAGCAGGGCGGGGCGTGCGGGGGCAGACACGCCTCTGTCTCCCCACACCCCCTCCCCTCCACCACGCCCCATCGCACCACCGAGCACTCGCTTTACAGAGCACTGCCCCCTTCCCTCCCGCCCCAGCCGTATTCCCCCTCCCCATTTCACTGCAGGGCGGAGCGTGCTGGGGCAGACGCGCCTCTGTCTCCCCACACCCCCACCGCGCCCCATCGCCCCATGGGGCATTCACTTCAACCTCACCCCTTCCCCTTTCCCCTTTTCCCCCCTCTCTTTGCCCTTCTCAGCAGGGCGGAGCGTGCGGGGGCAGACGCGCCTCTGTCTCCCCACACACCCACCACGCCTCAACGCACCACGGGGCACTTTCACCCGCCTGCTATCGAACCCATCCAACTCGCCAGGTATGGCTGCCCTGCTGGTTACCACATGAGTAGACCGCTCCGCCTGTCTCCCCACACCCCCACCACGCACGGCCCAACGCACCACGGGGCACTTTCACCCGCCTGCTATCGAACCCATCCAACTCGCCAGGTAGGGTTACCGGTAACCACACAGCCCAACATGGTATGTCCTTTGTCCTTTGAGCCATGTGACGTTCCCCACATGCAGTGCGGAGGAGCGGTGGAGTGCGGTGGTGGCATACGATGCATGTGCACATGTGCATGCACGGGGCATCCAAGAGGCTCATTTATCTATGCCCAATGGATGCCCCATGTCCCTTGTCCCATACATGCAGTGCTGAAGAGCGGTGGAGTGCAACGGTGGCATACGATGCATGTGTGCGCATGTGCATGGATGAGGCATCCAAGGGGGCATCCCACGCGCACTTCTTCCTGCAAGACGCTGCCTGTGCCTCTCTGCGCACATTCTTCGGGTGAGTCACTGCGATGAGAGCGGTGCAGTGAGTGCTAGCGGTGAGTGAGAAACCAAGGGGTCTCACCACGCACACTTCTTCCTGCAAGACGGCGCCTGCGCCTCACTCCGCACATTCTTCGGGTGAGTCACTGCGACAAGTGCAGTGCAGTGAGTGCTAACGGTGCTATGAGTGAGAAACCAAGGGGCCTTCCCACGCACACTTCTTCCTGCAAGGCGCTGCCTGTGCGGCTGTGCCTCCTTGCGCACATTCTTCGGGTACGCCTCGACTTAGAGTGTGTCATGCAATAACGAACCCTTCTCCCCACCATCTCCCTCCCCCGTTCTTCCTTCTTCACCTTGCTCCCGCTTCCACCCCCCAGTCTCCAGCCACTCATGCTGGTGCCTGTGAGTGCTCAAAACGCAGCAGACGCCAGTGACAGGCAGGGGGGAGGAGGAGGAGCGGGAGGAGGAGGAGGAGGAGGAGGAGGAGGAGGAGGAGGAGGAGGAGGAGGAGGAGGAGGAGGAGGAGGGGGAGGGGGAGGGGGTGCTAGGGGTGGGGAGGAGAGCTCATCCCCACTGCGGGGGTTCTCCAGCTCTCCTCTCTCGCCGTACGGCCACTCGTCGGCTCGGAAGAAAAACCGCGGCATTGGCACCCTCAAGCTGCAAGGTGAGGTGCATTCTCACTCGCATTGCAAGCGGTGATTTTTAAGTCGAGTCAAATATCACCTGCTCTGCGCTGTCACTCTCATTGTGCTCTCTACGTAGCGGTTGGCTATGAAATTGTTGCCTTCACTCACTCACACCGGCCTGAAAAACTCCCTTTTCTCCTCAATTTCCCCAATATTCGCCTTTCCCATCCATCTTCCTCCAATCTCCTCCAATTCCTCCACCAACCCCCCAGTGCGCAAGGTGCGCATGACAAGCAAGGGGGACGAGGGGAGGGGTGGGGGCGGGGGGCAGGGGGAAGCCGAGAACCCGGGGGGCGCGGGGGGAGGAATGGGGGGAGCAGCAGCGGGAGCAGGAGGCGGGACAGGGGGGGCAGGGGCGGCAGTGAGCAGCATGATGCGGCAGATCAAAGGAGGCATGGCAAATCTGAGAGGGCTGGCTGCTGAAGCCACCACTGCTGCTCCAGGTGAGTGTGATATGGGCCAGTCGGGGCAGGGGAACCAAGGGGGGCAGGAGGGGCAGGGACGACAAAGGGGGGGCGGAGGGGCAGGGGGAGCAGGACGGGAAGGGAGGGCAGGGGGAGCAGGCGGGGCAGGGAAGGTTGGGGCTGACACATAGGAGGTGAGTGAATGAATCACCGCTGGTTACCCCCAACACACACACGGCCTGGTCACTTCGTTTCTGAGCATCTCCCTCCACTGCCCATTCTAAAGCCCATTCTTTTCTGCTCTGTCAGTTCGTCTCTATGTTGGTTCCTTCTCTGTCTGCCCATTCTCCACTCCCTCTCTATGTTGGTTCCTTCTCTGTCTGCCCATTCTCCACTCCCTCTCTATGTTGGTTCCTTCTCTGTCTGCCCATTCTCCACTCCCTCTCTATGTTGGTTCCTTCTCTGTCTGCCCATTCTCCACTCCCTCTCTATGTTGGTTCCTTCTCTGTCTGCCCATTCTCCACTCCCTCTCTATGTTGGTTCCTCCTCTGTCTGCCCATTCTCCACTCCCTCTCTATGTTGGTTCCTTCTCTGTCTGCCCATTCTCCACTCCCTCTCTATGTTGGTTCCTTCTCTGTCTGCCCATTCTCCACTCCCTCTCTATGTTGGTTCCTTCTCTGTCTGCCCATTCTCCACTCCCTCTCTATGTTGGTTCCTTCTCTGTCTGCCCATTCTCCACTCCCTCTCTATGTTGGTTCCTTCTCTGTCTGCCCATTCTCCACTCCCTCTCTATGTTGGTTCCTTCTCTGTCTGCCCATTCTCCACTCCCTCTCTATGTTGGTTCCCTTGCTGCTGCCAGAGGGAGTGCTGGTGTCCGTGCGGTGCCCAGCAGAGGAGGCGGGTGAAGCACGGAGGGTGAACCCCAACACCCACCATTGCATCAACCTGTAAGCCCTGCTGCAGACACCCCCACAATACATCTTCATCACACAAACCCAACACGCACACCCACCATTGCATCAACCTGTATGCCCTGCTGCAGACACCCCCACAATACATCTTCATCACACAAACCCAACACGCACACCCACCATTGCATCAACCTGTAAGCCCTGCTGCAGACACCCCCACAATACATCTTCATCACACAAACCCAACACGCACACCCACCATTGCATCAACCTGTAAGCCCTGCTGCAGACACCCCCACAATACATCTTCATCACACAAACCCAACACGCACACCCACCATTGCATCAACCTGTAAGCCCTGCTGCAGACACCCCCACAATACATCTTCATCACACAAACCCAACACGCACACCCACCATTGCATCAACCTGTAAGCCATGCTGCACACATCACACACCCCACATACATCTCAATCAGTGAGACCAGCCATGCCCCCTCATTGTGGTGGTGACTGTAGAGTTGACTCAATCAAACCTTGTGGAGGGTGAACAGTCCGCGGCAGCATCACGTTCGCCTCGTCCCTATCTTCCTCTCTTCCCTCTCGTCTCTCTCTTCCCGCTTCTTTCTTAACAAGCAGTCATGTGGAGAGCGATAGACAAGAGGTGGTGGTGGAGGTGCATGATCGCAGTGGGTTGAGAGGGCAGGCCGCAGTGGCATGCGCTCATTCGAACCATCCTTACTACACTCTCCCTTTCTTCCCTATTTTCCCTCTCTTCCCCCAATTTTCCCTCTCCCCTATTCAGTCCCGTGGAGAGCGAGAGACAAGAGGTGGTGGTGGAGGTGCATGATCGCAGTGGGTTGAGAGGGCAGGCCACGGTGCCTGCTGCTACGCTCATGGACGAAGGGGTGAGTGATAAGGGGCGCTGGGGTGTTTGGCGAGAACTGGGATGGGTTCGTTGCACGATTGAGGGCAAATGGGTGAGGGGTGGTTCCAATGGGTGCAGGGAGCAGGCAGCAGTGGCTGCTGCTGTGCTCATGGTCCAAGGGGTGAGTGATAAGCGGTGAAGGGGGGGTGAACGGGTGAGTGATAAGCGGTGAGCTGGTGAGTAATAAGGGGTGCATGATTGCACTGAGTTAAGGGGACATGCAACGGTGGCAGCTGCTGTGCTCATGGACGAAGGGCCGAGTGACAAGCGGTGAGTTGGTGAGTGATAAGCGGTGAACTGGTGAGTGATAAGCGGTGAACTGGTGAGTGATAAGCGGTGAACTGGTGAGTGATAAGCGGTGAACTGGTGAGTGATAAGCGGTGAACTGGTGAGTGATAAGCGGTGAACTGGTGAGTGATAAGCGGTGAACTGGTGAGTGATTGTGAAAGATTGTCAAAACTGTGGCTGTCTCACCACTGTCCTTGGCTGTTACTGAAACCAAAGCTCCTCTGAACCTGCTGCTTCTTCCCCCCAACCCCCCTAACCCCCCGCCCTTTCGCCCCCTCCCCCCTTCTCTCCCCCCCACCTCTGCTGCACAATCTACCATCAGCACCCGGGTCCCCACATGTCTCTGTCGCCCTCTTCCCTCATTTCCCCTTCCCCCCTCCCCTCTTCCCCTCTCCGCTGTCACACAATCTCCCATCAGCACCCGGGCGCCCACGTGTCACTGTCGCAGCGCTGCCATTGGCTGGCAGTGAGGGACACGTGTCAGCAGGAGGTGGCTCGCGTGCAGCTCGCCGTGTCTCTCGTGCCCTGTGCCAGGGACTATGGCACGCAGGTGTGTAATGTGGTGTGCGGGTGTGAGAGGGGATGCGGGGGTGTTGTGGATGTGTTGTGTCGCTTGTGCCCTGTGCCAGGGACTATGGCACGCAGGTGCGTGTGTGGGTGTGGGGGTGTTGAGTTGTGCGTGTGTGAGAGGGTATGAAGGTGCGGCTGGGTTGCTTGTGTCTTGGTCAAGCGTAGCGGGTCAGCAGGAGGTGGCGCTCGTGCCCTGTGCCAGGGACTATGGCACGCAGGTGTGTAATGCGGTGTGCGGGTGTGCGAGGGGATGTGGGGGTGCTGTCAATGATAGAAATGGAGCTCAACTGATTGATTAGTAAAGAAGGCACTAGGCCTTAAGTACAAACAAGGGTGGGTTGAGCAAGGCTAAACTAGCAAGGCTAGGGAAAGGATGAGATGGGAATCCTAGCAAATCTCCAATTCGGTGAGTTGGCAGATTTGCAGGATTACGAGGGAATCCCAACCAGATAGGGTTGGGATTACAAACTACACCCAACACGCAAATAATCTACGCGATATAGAATATAATACACAAAGTGTTGACAGCCTAATTCTAACAGTCAATGTGTTGCGTCTCTCGTGCCCTGTGCCAGGGACTATGGCACGCAGGTGTGTGTGTGGGGGAGTGAGGTTGCTTTTGAGTCGACTCAAAAGCGTGAGGTTGTGGATGTCTGGTTTCCTTCTGAGTCAGCAGCATACGACTGGACTGGGTGTTAGCAGCAGCCATGGCAGCCCAGGCCCAGGCCTCTCTTCCCCTCCACTCTCACTCCTCTCGACTCGATGCACCACCCCATCATCCATTCATGCTGTTACTTCTTTCTCACCTCCACTTTTCCACCTTCCCCACTGCCAGTGTCAGCCAATCACGGAGTCAGCAGCGTACGACTGGGTGTTCGCAGCAGCCATGGCAGCTCAGGGCTTCCACGCGCGCACCAGTCCACTGAACACTCTTCCTCCTCTCTTTTTTGGTGTTTGTACCTCTCTGTTGCCCTCTTTCCCACTGCCAGTGTCAGCCAATCACGGAGTCAGCAGCATACGACTGGGTGCTCGCAGCAGCCATGGCAGCTCAGGGCTTCCACGCGCGCAACCTCCGCCTCTCCGGCCCCTGGGAGTGGCTCTGCGACCAGTTCGCCACCTGCTATGGGGTCTCACCACACTACACTAAGCTCAGGTGCGCTTAGTTCAGGTGCGCTTAGCTCAGGTGCGCTTAGCTCAGGTGCGCTTAGCTCAGGTGCGCTTAGCTCAGGTGCGCTTAGCTCTGGATGTGGGTAGACTTGACTAATTAGAAAGAAAGGTACGTGGCCTTACGTAGGAGGGGTTGGTTGGCCATCCCAGCCCATCCCATCCCATCCCATTCCATCCCATCCCATCCCATCCCATCCCATCCCATCCCATCCCATCCCATCCCATCCCATCCCATCCCATCCCATCCCACCACTTTGCACAGGTACCTCACGCATGTGATGGACGTGGCAACACCGACAGCCGACTGCCTTACTTTGATTCACCAGTTGTTGGCGCCCGTGCAACTTGCACAAGTCACTGCCTCATTCCTGTCCCATCTCTCCCTTTTTCCTATTCACCTCTGTACGTCTCTGCCCCATTGCGCAGGTACCTCACGCGAGTGATGGACGTGGCAACACCAACAGCTGACTGCCTTACTCTGATTCACCAGCTGCTGGCACCAGTGCTGCATGCTCACGACAGTGACGGCAGCAGTGTGACTAAACAGGAGGTGAGTAACTCTTATTTGAGAGTGACTGAATAGGGTGACTTTTGAGTCGACTCAAAAGTCACCTCAGTGTGACTAAACAGGAGGTTAGTAACTCTTATTTGAGAGTGTCTGAATAGGGTGACTTTTGAGTCGACTCAAAAGTCACCTCAGTGTGACTAAACAGGAGGTGAGTAACTCTTATTTGAGAGTGACTGAATAGGAGAGACAGCAACACGGCTGAGAAGCGGACACAACCGGTGTATCATCCACAGTGCTTCTTTAACATTTCTCACCTTCCCCTTTCCTCCTCTCCTCCTCATCCCACGTCCCTCCTCTCCTCCACACCCCACTTCCCACCTCTCCTCTCGCCTCTCTTCCTGCCCACTTCCCCCTCCTCTCCGCGCCATTGTGTGTTTCCTTCAAAATTCCTCCTCGCCCTCCTTCCCTTCCGCTCACAGGCGCGCATGCTAGCAGACATGGAGGAGAGAGTGGGCGATCTGCTTCAGCACCATTACCCACCGCTCTGCACCCCTCTGTTCTCCCCGCAACCGCACTCTCCTCCCCCCTTCGCAGGCGCGCATGCTAGCAGACATGGAAGAGCGGGTGGGAGACCTCCTCCAACTCACCTTCGAGAGCTACAAGTCGCTCAGCGAGGCTGCCCCCTCAGGCATCGCAGACTGTGCCAGCCTGCTCCATTACCCACCGCTTTGCTCCGCTCTCTGCTTCCCCCCTGCAGGCGCGCATGCTAGCAGACATGGAGGAGAGAGTGGGCGACCTCCTCCAACTCACCTTTGAAAACTACAAGTCGCTCAGCGAGGCTTCCCCCTCAGGCATAGCCGACTCTTCCCGTTCCGCCACCCACCTCTGTGCCTCCCTGGGGCGATCGCTGGTGGGGGCAGAGGCGGCAGCGCTGGTGGCGCCGGCTATCCCCCCTGCAGTGCACCTGTTTGGGCTGCTGAACGACCTACTGCTGCCAGAGGTGCAACAGCAGTTCTGCGGTTACCTGCAGGTGAGACGAGGAAGGGGGGAAGGGAGGTCTTTTAGCAGATGAGTGGTGGCGCCGGCGATTCCCCCCGCGGTGCAACTGTTTGGGCTGCTGAATGACCTGCTGCTGCCAGAAGTGTTTTTTGAGAATTCTTTTTGAGAATTCTCAAATAACACGAGCAGCAGTTCTGTGGATACCTGCAGGTGAGACTGGGGAGGGGACGGAAGGTCTTTTGGCAGATGAGGTGGCGAGGATTACTAGTGGCACTGGCTAGGCTATCCCCCCCGCGGTGCACCTGTTTGGTCTGTTGATTGAACGACCTGCTGCTGCCAGAAGTGCAGCAGCAGTTCTGCGGATACTTGCAGGTGAGGGCTCTTCAGTGTAATTGCAAGTGAATCAGACGAGTAGGCATTAACAGGTCATCCTCCCTCCCTCCTCCCTCCTCTCTCCTTCTATCCGCCACGACCCTATCCAACTCTCTTTCCTTCTGAGAATTCTCAAAAGTAACACCAAACAGACAGCAGTGCTTCTGCAGCACCAATCATCAGAAACAGTCACACTTACATCAAAGGCAAATTCGGCCCACTTACCCCCTACATTTCGCCTCTCCCCCATTAGGATAGCAGCGGTGCCAGCGGTGCCGGCAACACTTATGGCAAATTTTAGAATTCTCTATTTTGAGAATTCTAAAAAATCAGGGTCAATGGCACGTTGAAACTGGCTGGTCCTGCTGGCATCTCACATTCTCCTTGCCTCTCCCCCACCCCCCGCCCCACACCCCCCGCCCCCCCTGCACCCCACTCCCCCCCCCACACAGACAGCAGCGCGGCGGCGGTGCCGGCAACACCTGTCAGAGACCGACGAATATGTCAACGGCACGTTCTGCCTTGGCACTGGGGGCAGCAGCATGCAAGGGCAGTCGCAGGGGCAGGGGCAAGCGGGCATGGGGTGCAGTCCGGGGGGAGGCAGGGGGAGAGGGGGCGGAGGGGGCGGGGGAATGGGGGGAACAGGCGGGATGGGGAGGGGGGCGATACGGGGAGGGGAAGGGGGGGATATGGAGGAGCAGAGGGAGGCGTATGGGAGCATGCGACTGGCGTGTGTGGCCATGTGGAGAGAGGTGCAGGCGGACATAGGCATTCACAACCAACACATCCTGCCCAGGTGCGTTGCCCTAGTGTGGCATGGGGGTGCAGGTGCAGGTGCGTGTGTTGTGTGGCCGTGTGGAGGGAGGTGCAAGCGGACATAGGCATTCACAACCAGCACATTCTGCCCAGGTAGGGTTCTGCCTTTGCTTGTTTGTGTGGGTTGGGGTATTTGGGGTGGTGCGTGTGTGGCCATGTGGAGAGAGGTGCAGGCGGATATTGGCATTCACAACCAACACATCCTGCCCAGGTGGGGTGATGTATGTGCTTGTTTGTGAATTAGTGTGTGCGCGTTGCCCTGGTGTGGGATGGGGGTGGGAGTGCGTGTGTGGCCATGTGGAGAGAGGTGCTGGTTCACAACCAACGTATCCTGCCCTGGTGGGACTTCGTTTGTGGCCACAAGGGAAGGAGTGGGGGTGAGGGAGAAAGGGGGTGTTTCTGTTGCAGCGTCCTTTGATCCCCCTCCCAGTTTTCTCGACTGGCCTGAGCTGACAGCTGGCATGTGCATGGTGCGCTGCATAGGCGTCGCCAGACGGAATTTTACTTGAATTTGCGGGTTCGATTTGCCCGTCCAACCTCGTCGCCCTTTGAACCCCCTTCCTGCTTTGTGTACTTACCTAAGCCGACAGCTGGCGTGTTCATGGTGGCGCTGCAGAAGGGGAGGCAATGAGCGCCTTCCTTCCCCTCCTTCGCTCTTCCCCTCCGTCCTTTTCAGCTTTTTAGACTTACCCATGCTGACAGCTGGCGTGCTCATGGTGGACCTGCAGAAGCCCCCCACCGTGAGCACGCCATGAGAGAGACGTTGCCTCCTTTCTCTCATTCAATCCCTTCATTCCCTCCTCGTCCCATCTCATCCCCACGCCACGTCAGCTTCGTGGACTTACCCGAGTTGACAGCTGGCGTGTACATGGTGGAGCTGCAGCGGCGAGTCAACCAGTTCCTGCTGGCAGTGCCACCTCAGCACCCGCTGCCACATGTCAAGAACCTGCTGCACGCCACTGCTGACGTGGAGGACAGGCTCATGCTGTGGGGCGTGGGGTGAGTGAAGCATTGTGGTTGCATTAGTTATGGGTTGGGTTTGTCTATTTTTTCTCCCCTGCATTATTGCAGCTTCCCTTGCATCTCCTCGTCTCCTGCATCAATCTCAATCCGAAAGTTGCCTGGGGGGCTAGACGCAAGGGAGATATTCAGATCGGAGTGTACGTGGAGGCATCGATGAGAGAGCGCATCAGCCCTCTCTCATTCTCACATTATCTCATTCTCGAACGGACCTTGTATTCATTATAGGGTGTTCCAAGGTTGGTGCAAACGCACGCAAGACAAGCAAAACCAGTTTCCTACCTACTAGATCGTCACCTACCCTCTCCCGCCCCCCTCTGTCCGACCCTCATTCCCCCTCTCCCTCTCCCTGCCTCACCCCCTGATTACCGAGACCAGCAAGGTGCCTGGGGGGTTAGACGCCAGGGAGCTGTTCGGAGTGTACGTGGAGGCGTGGATCAGAGAGCGCACCCACACTCTCATGGACGTCTGTCGAGCTCCCAAGGTGTGTGCTGCCCCTTTTCTACTCTCCACGTGCTCCCTCCTACTCTCCTCTTTCTCCTTCGTTTGTTTCCTCTTTATTGTGCTCCTCGTTTACCTCCTCTTCACCCATTTTCTTCCTCATCACCCATTTTCCTCCTCTTCCTCTGCCTTCTCTTCCATCCTCGGTCTCTCAACATGTACAACCTCCATGCGCGTCCTACTCTTTCCCGTCTCCCCTTCTCCTCCCTCCCCTTACAGTGGGCGGTGCTTGCACCCATGTCAGACTGGAATGCCACGCCGCCCGTCATGAAGGAGGGGTACGGCATGGATTCATCAGCAGCAGGCGTGGCGTGTGTGTAATGAACCCATCCCATGAAGTCTCTCTACCGCTGCCACGCCGCCATGTAGAGAAACTTCTCTTCGTCCCTTCCCCCCTTCCTTCTCCCTCCCCTCAGCGGGCGGTGCTAGCCCCAATGTCGGACCGCAACGCCACGTCGCATTTCATGGAGGAGGTGTACGGGGTGATCAACAGGAGGTAGTGCGTGTGATGCCTCACACGCTCTCTCACCCACTTCTTCCCTCCCTCCGTCTCTCCTTCTCCCTCCTCTTACACAGTGGTCGGTGCTAGCTCCCATGTCAGACCGCAACGCTACCTCACCATTCATGGAGTTCATCAACAGCCTGCCAGTGCCACCAGTGCTGCAGAGTATTTTTGAGAATTCTCAAAAATACTCTGCAATTCTCAAAAGAATTCTCAAAAGTACTCTGCAGCTCCCATGTCAGACCGCAACGCTACCTGACCATTCATGGAGTTCATCAACAGCCTGCCAGTGCCACCAGTGCTTATCTCTTCCCTTTCCTCCCTTGCTTGTTTCACAACTGAACGTCTCTCCCAAATGCAGTGGGCGGTGCTAGCACCCATGTCGGACCGCAACACCAGGCCGCCATTCATGGAGGAGGTGTACGGTGTGATCAACAGCCTGCTAGTCCACGTGTGATATCTCTCTCTTCTGCTGAAACTTCTATTCCCCTGTCTCCCGCTCCTTCTCCCTCCCCCTACAGTGGGCAGTCCTGGCGCCAATGTCGGACCGCAATGCCACGTCGCCTTTTATGGAGGAGGTGTACGGGGTGATCAACAGCCTGCTGGACGAACTGGATTCGGTGCTGGGGCGATGGCCGCAGTACACGCTTCTGGTGGAGGAGGTGAGAGTGTCTTGAAAGAAAGAGAGAACAAAAGGACTAGGTAAAGCGATGGGGAATGCATGGCACAGGGAGGGAGTGGGGGGTGTACGGTGTGATCAACAGCCTGCTGGACGAGCTCGACTCTGTGCTGGGGCGATGGCTGCAGTACACTCTGCTGGTGGAAGAGGTGAGAGTGTATTGAGGAGGGGGGGGGGGGTCAGGGGAATGGGTGCGTTCACAGGGCACAGGGGTTGGTTAACAAAGAAGGGGCCTCTGTACCTGGCTGCTAATGCAATGGTTAAGTATGGTGGGTCCGTCGTATCCCATGGTTCGTCTGTCCATCCGTTGCAATCCGTGCAGGCAGTGCACGATGTAGAGTGTGCGCCTTGAGTGGCCGTGTGACTGTCACATGATTCCCATGTGTATCTGTCTACCCACCCATGTGCACCATTGCAGGCGGTGTGCGATGTGGAGCGAGCAGCCATTTCATCCCTCGCCTCTCACTTTCACAATTTTCTCCTCCTCACATAGTTGACATGTGTGTCTGTGTGCGATCCCTGTGCTCCATGCTTCCCCATTGCAGGCGGTGTGCGATGTGGAGCGAGCAGCCATTTCATCCCTCGCCTCTCACTTTCAGAACTTCCTCCTCCTCCTCAACACCCCCTCCTCCTCCTCCGCCCCCTCTTCCACAAAAAAGAAGCTTCTTGGAATGCTGTCCCGCCGTCGCCCCACACTCGCGTACCAAGTTCCCATTGAGGTGAGATCGTCACTTGCTGTTTGTGAGGTCAGTGTGAGAAATTTTCGTCTCAGCGTCTAGCTTGAACAGGAGGGGCAAGAGAGTGGGAGCGAAGTGCCGGAAGGGGAAGAGAGCAACTGAATGCTCGAATCCTTCTCCTCCCCCCCTGTTGCGCCACACTCCCTCCTGCTTCCCCCTGCCTTCCTTACCTCGCCTTACCTTCCATCACTCTTCCCTCCCTCCCCTTTCAGCTGGGCGTGTATCTCAACACCATCAAGCGCATGCTCGAGACCCTCCGCCCAACAGTGAAGGGAGCTGAGGACAGGCAAATGGGTTTCCAACACCCATCGTCCTCCCTGCCTTCCCCTCCCTGCCTCTCCCTCCCTCCCTTCCGCTGCGTGCCTCTCCCTCCCCACCCCTCTCCCCCTTTCAGCTGGGCGTGTATCTCAACACCATCAAGCGCATGCTCGAGACCCTCCGCCCAACAGTGGAGCTCAGAATGTGAATGAAAGGTTCCCAATACTCATTTTCCTCCCTGTCTTCACCCCGCTCCTGCTCCCTCCCCTCCCCCCCCCCTCCTCTCATTTCCCCTTTCCCCCCCTCACTGCAGCTGGGCGTGTATCTCAACACAATAAAGCGAATGCTCGAAACCCTGCGCCCAACAGTAGAACTCCGGATGCGAAAATGGGTCGCCAACACCCCTCCAGCCTCCCTCATCCGCCCCCCCCAGCGCAACCTCCCCCCCCCCAAGCGGCCCTCGGGGGGAGGCAGTGCTGCTGGTGCCGCTGCTGCCGCTGCTTCCATGCTGGGAGCTGCTGCGAAAAGAGTGGCTGCTGCTGCTGGCGGTGGGGGAGGGGGAGGGGGAGGGGGAGGGGGCGGGGGAGGGGGCGGGGGAGGCGGAGGTGGTGTCAGGGGACAGGGGGGGATGGGCGGAAGTGGGATGGGGGGAGGCGCTGGTGGGGGGAGTGGATGGGGGGAGGCTGGGGTGGGGAGGGGGAGGGGGCAGGGAGGCGGAGTGGCGGATGCAGGGGGGATGGGGGAAGCAGGGGGAGCAGGGGGGACGGGCGGAGGGGGAGTAGCGGGGGGAAGGGAGGTGCTATTCGGGGAAATGCTGAGCGAGGTGACGGTGGAGCTGAGGACGACCTACAGGGCGACATTACAAGGCGTGGTGGAGAAACTATACGAGAATGTGAGCATGGAGGGGGAGAAAAGGAGCTGTATCTGGAAGGGTGCTAGTTGGGGAGAAGGGGAGTGAGGTGATTAACATGGCAAGCTTTTCTATTCCTGCATTCATTGTATACCTTCCATTCCCTCCTCCTTCCCTCAGACCCAGCTAGGCCTCACCACATCGCTGAAGCGAGTGCTCAAGAAGGCCCATTCCTTATGGAACCTCACAACGTGCCTTTCGTTCCGCTCCCCCCCCCCCCCTTCCGTGCCCTCCGCTCCCCTTCCTCCCTGTCCCTCCTTCCCTTCTCCCCTTCAGACCCAGCTGGGTCGAACCACATCGCTGAAGCGAGTGCTCAAGGAGGTGCATTCCTTTGAAATGCGCCCTCTCTTTCCCTCCCCTGCATCCGTTCGCTCCCCTCCTCGCCCCTTCAGACCCAGCTGGGTCGAACCACATCGCTGAAGCGAGTGCTCAAGGAGGTGCATTCCTTTGAATGCGCCCTCTCTTTCCCTCCCCTGCATCCGTTCGCTCCCCTCCTCGCCCCTTCAGACCCAGCTGGGTCGAACCACGTCGTTGAAGCGAGTGCTCAAGGAGGTGCGCCCACAGGCAGGCGACGACATGACGTCCAAGCTGCAGCCCCTGTCCGCGCTCATAGGGTCGCTGCTAGCCCAGGTGAGATGCCCTGCATGTCCACTCGCAGCCCAGCACAGGCAGGCCACCACATGACCTCCAAGCTGCTACCGCGCTCTGCCCTGATTGGGTCACTGCTAGCCCAGGTAAGAAACTGTGCCTGCATCCATGCTGCTCTCTTGTTGCCACTCACTGTCCATAAGGCAATGCACACAGGCAGGCAGGCGACGACATGACATCCAAGCCGCAACCGCGCTCTGCCCTGATTGGATCGCTGCTGGCTCAGGTAAGTCTCGGCCGTTTCAGGTAAGATAACCTGCGATTTTTGAGGCGCCTAAAAAAAAGATACCCTGCGTGCACACTACGTTCTGGCTACCACTCTCTGTCCCTGAACCACCACCCTCCCCTCCTCTTGCCTCACTTCCCAGTTCCGTTTATCCCCTCCCCCATCCGCCTTCACTCCCATTTCTGGCCCCACTCTCTCATCATGCGGTGCTGAGAAGCAGAGAGTATTTCTGGGCACAGCACGGGCCTGTGGGTGGGGACCTTCGAATAAACCACCTCACAGTGCTCCTTCCGACACTTCTCTTCCCCATTTGTTTTAACCCCCATATTTCCCCACCCTCCTGTCAGACTGATGCAGTGTGAAGCAGCAGAGTGTTTGTAGGCACAGCAAGGGCCCTGTTGAGTCGCCCCTCTTCCCTGCCAGCCACTCTATCCCCACCCTCGCCCAACCCTTTCCTTGCCTGAGGGACCGTCAAGTGAGCTTCCTCACGATACTTCCCCCCTTTCCTTTCTGCCTCTTTCCCCACCTTCCCATCAGGCTGATGCAGTGCTGAGCAGCCGTGTCTTCGTGGGCACGGCAAGGGGCCTGTGGGACCGGCAAGGGCGGGAGGTGCTGCACTTTCCAACCCTCTCCGTTCTCCCTTCCCCCACTCCCTTTTTCCCGTCCCATCAGGCTGACGCAGTGCTGAGCAGTCGAGTATTCGTGGGAACAGCGAGGGGCCTGTGGGACCGGCATGGGCGGGAGGTGCTGTACTTCCTGGAGAAGCGGAGGGAGGGGGTGTCGTGGTTCAAGAGTGCATCCGCTGCTATCACACTTGATGTAAGCACACCCTCGATGTAAGCACACCCTCGATGTAAGCACAGGCTCATAGGGATGTGGTTCTGGAACATCTCAAAGCAAGAGGTGCAGGGGGTGTCGTGGTCCGATAGTGCTTCTGCTGCCATCACGCTCGATGTAAGCACAACCTGATTGGGAATTCACAATCCCACACACTCATAGTCCCACACACTCATAGCCCCACACACTCATAGCCCCACACACTCATAGCCCCACACACTCATAGCCCCACACACTCATAGTCCCACACACCCATAGCCCCACACACCCATAGCCCCTCACACCCATAGCCCCTCACACCCATAGCCCCTCACACCCATAGCCCCTCACACCCATAGCCCCACACATCTTCACTCATAGCGGAAGAGCTGCAACTTTGAAGATTGGAAAACGCTTAAAGCAACAGGATCGAAACTTAGAAAAAATCTTCCTGGAAAATTGCTCAGTAGAACTCGTAAAACCCTTTCACTAAAGCAGAACCTTACAGCACAAACCCATAGCACAAACTCGTAAAACCCTTTCACACACCCATAGCCCCACACACCCATAGCCCCACACACCCATAGCCCCACACACCCATAGCCCCACACACTCATAGTCCCACACACTCATAGCCCCACACACTCATAGCCCCACACACTCATAGTCCCACACACTCATAGCCCCACACACTCATAGCCCCACACACTCATAGCCCCACACACTCATAGTCCCACACACTCATAGCCCCACACACTCATAGCCCCACACACTCATAGTCCCACACACTCATAGTCCCACACACTCATAGCCCCACACACTCATAGCCCCACACACTCATAGTCCCACACACTCATAGCCCCACACACTCATAGTCCCACACACTCATAGCCCCACACACTCATAGCCCCACACACTCATAGTCCCACACACTCATAGCCCCACACACTCATAGCCCCACACACTCATAGTCCCACACACTCATAGTCCCACACACTCATAGCCCCACACACTCATAGCCCCACACACTCATAGTCCCACACACTCATAGTCCCACACACTCATAGTCCCACACACTCATAGTCCCACACACTCATAGTCCCACACACTCATAGTCCCACACACTCATAGTCCCACACACTCATAGTCCCACACACTCATAGTCCCACACACTCATAGTCCCACACACTCATAGTCCCACACACTCATAGTCCCACACACTCATAGTCCCACACACTCATAGTCCCACACACTCATAGTCCCACACACCCATAGTCCCACACTCATAGTCCCACACACTCATAGTCCCACACACTCATAGTCCCACACACTCATAGTCCCACACACTCATAGTCCCACACACTCATAGTCCCACACACTCATAGTCCCACACACTCATAGTCCCACACACTCATAGTCCCACACACTCATAGCTCCACACACTCATAGTCCCACACACTCATAGTCCCACACACTCATAGTCCCACACACTCATAGTCCCACACACTCATAGCCCCACACACTCATAGCCCCACACACTCATAGTCCCACACACTCATAGTCCCACACACTCATAGTCCCACACACTCATAGTCCCACACACTCAGTCCCACACACTCATAGTCCCACACACTCAGCCCCACACACCCATAGCCCCACACACCCATAGCCCCACACACTCATAGTCCCACACACTCATAGTCCCACACACTCATAGCCCCACACACTCATAGTCCCACACACTCATAGTCCCACACACTCATAGCCCCACACTCTCATAGTCCCACACACTCATAGCCCCACACACTCATAGTCCCACACACTCATAGCCCCACACACTCATAGCCCCACACACTCATAGTCCCACACACTCATAGTCCCACACACTCATAGCCCCACACACTCATAGCCCCACACACTCATAGTCCCACACACTCATAGTCCCACACACTCATAGTCCCACACACTCATAGTCCCACACACTCATAGTCCCACACACTCATAGTCCCACACACTCATAGTCCCACACACTCATAGTCCCACACACTCATAGTCCCACACACTCATAGTCCCACACACTCATAGTCCCACACACTCATATCCCCACACACTCATAGTCCCACACACTCATAGTCCCACACACTCATAGTCCCACACACTCATAGTCCCACACACTCATAGTCCCACACACTCATAGTCCCACACACTCATAGTCCCACACACCCATAGTCCCACACATAGTCCCACACACTCATAGTCCCACACACTCATAGTCCCACACACTCATAGCCCCACACACTCATAGTCCCACACACTCATAGTCCCACACACTCATAGTCCCACACACTCATAGCCCCACACACTCATAGCCCCACACACTCATAGCCCCACACACTCATAGTCCCACACACTCATAGCCCCACACACTCATAGCCCCACACACTCATAGTCCCACACACTCATAGTCCCACACACTCATAGTCCCACACACTCATAGTCCCACACACTCATAGTCCCACACACTCATAGCTCCACACACTCATAGTCCCACACACTCATAGTCCCACACACTCATAGTCCCACACACTCATAGTCCCACACACTCATAGCCCCACACACTCATAGCCCCACACACTCATAGTCCCACACACTCATAGTCCCACACACTCATAGTCCCACACACTCATAGTCCCACACACTCAGTCCCACACACTCATAGTCCCACACACTCAGCCCCACACACCCATAGCCCCACACACCCATAGCCCCACACACTCATAGTCCCACACACTCATAGTCCCACACACTCATAGCCCCACACACTCATAGTCCCACACACTCATAGTCCCACACACTCATAGCCCCACACACTCATAGTCCCACACACTCATAGCCCCACACACTCATAGTCCCACACACTCATAGCCCCACACACTCATAGCCCCACACACTCATAGTCCCACACACTCATAGTCCCACACACTCATAGCCCCACACACTCATAGCCCCACACACTCATAGTCCCACACACTCATAGTCCCACACACTCATAGTCCCACACACTCATAGTCCCACACACTCATAGTCCCACACACTCATAGTCCCACACACTCATAGTCCCACACACTCATAGTCCCACACACTCATAGTCCCACACACTCATAGTCCCACACACTCATAGTCCCACACACTCATATCCCCACACACTCATAGTCCCACACACTCATAGTCCCACACACTCATAGTCCCACACACTCATAGTCCCACACACTCATAGTCCCACACACTCATAGTCCCACACACTCATAGTCCCACACACCCATAGTCCCACACATAGTCCCACACACTCATAGTCCCACACACTCATAGTCCCACACACTCATAGCCCCACACACTCATAGTCCCACACACTCATAGTCCCACACACTCATAGTCCCACACACTCATAGCCCCACACACTCATAGCCCCACACACTCATAGCCCCACACACTCATAGTCCCACACACTCATAGCCCCACACACTCATAGCCCCACACACTCATAGTCCCACACACTCATAGTCCCACACACTCATAGCCCCACACACTCATAGCCCCACACACTCATAGTCCCACACACTCATAGTCCCACACACTCATAGTCCCACACACTCATAGTCCCACACACTCATAGTCCCACACACTCATAGTCCCACACACTCATAGTCCCACACACTCATAGTCCCACACACTCATAGTCCCACACACTCATAGTCCCACACACTCATAGTCCCACACACCCATAGTCCCACACATAGTCCCACAGACTCATAGTCCCACACACTCATAGTCCCACACACTCATAGCCCCACACACTCATAGTCCCACACACTCATAGTCCCACACACTCATAGTCCCACACACTCATAGCCCCACACACTCATAGCCCCACACACTCATAGCCCCACACACTCATAGTCCCACACACTCATAGCCCCACACACTCATAGCCCCACACACTCATAGTCCCACACACTCATAGTCCCACACACTCATAGCCCCACACACTCATAGACACACACACTCATAGTCCCACACACTCATAGCCCCACACACTCATAGCCCCACACACTCATAGCCCCACACACTCATAGTCCCACACACTCATAGCCCCACACACTCATAGCCCCACACACTCATAGTCCCACACACTCATAGTCCCACACACTCATAGCCCCACACACTCATAGCCACACACACTCATAGTCCCACACACTCATAGTCCCACACACTCATAGTCCCACACACTCATAGTCCCACACACTCATAGTCCCACACACTCATAGTCCCACACACTCATAGTCCCACACACTCATAGTCCCACACACTCATAGTCCCACACACTCATAGTCCCACACACTCATAGTCCCACACACTCATAGCCCCACACACTCATAGTCCCACACACTCATAGTCCCACACACTCATAGTCCCACACACTCATAGTCCCACACACTCATAGTCCCACACACTCAGTCCCACACACTCATAGTCCCACACACTCAGTCCCACACACCCATAGTCTGACACAGCTCCGCACACAATACCAACGACCCCCATCACCTGTTGCCTCTCTTCGAAAATCACATTCTCCTATTGTCAGTCCGCTCCACTTCCCCCCTCCCACCCCTTCCCCCCATCAGACGCTGGAAAATCTAATCACCCAGCAGATGCAGCGACTGCAGAGCCTTGCGCTCATGGTGAGGGTCCTAGAGCCGCCCCGCCTTGCGCTCATGGAGAGGGTCCTAGAGCCTTCCCGCCTTGCGCTCATGGAGAGGGTCCTAGAGCCGCCCCGCCTTGCGCTCATGGAGAGGGTCCTAGAGCCGCCCCGCCTTGCGCTCATGGAGAGGGTCCTAGAGCCGCCCCGCCTTGCGCTCATGGAGAGGGTCCTAGAGCCGCCCCGCCTTGCGCTCATGGAGAGGGTCCTAGAGCCGCCCTGCCTTGCGCTCATGGAGAGGGTCCTAGAGCCGCCCTGCCTTGCCTTGCCACAGCCGCATATCTTGCAACCCCCCTCCCCTTTTCCTCCTTTGCCCTCCCTCCCACCCCCCCTCTCCCTCACCACAGACGCTGGATAACTTGTTCACCCAGCAGATGCAGCGCCTGCAAGGCCACTCTCTCATGGAGAGGGGTGTGCTACCATCGTCCCACATCCGCATGCCCTCTCATGGAGAGGGGTGTGCTACCATCGTCCCACATCCGCATGCCCTCTCACCCGAGCATTCCCTTGATGCCACCCCTCCCACCACCCCCTCCCTCACCACAGACGCTGGATAATCTGTTCACCCAGCAGATGCAGCGCCTGCAGGGCCACGCGCTCATGGAGAGGGACCTAGAGCCGCCTCGAGCCATCTGTGATGCGCGGGGGGTGCTGTCTAAGGGAGGTGCACCAGCTGCCACTGCCAGAGTGCACGACTCGCTCTCCCTCTACTGATTGGCACGACTCCCTCTCCCGATAATAATGTCATTTGACTGTCGTCTGTCACGCATCAGTGGAGAGGGACTGGTAGTCGCTGCGAGCCATCTGTGACACCCGAGGGGTGCTGCCTAAGGGGGGGCGCACCTGCCGCCACTGCTAGAGTGCACGAATCCAACTCCCTCTACTGATTGGCACGACTCCCTTCTCCTCTACTAACGCCATTTGACTGTCATCTGTCACGCGCTGATGGAGAGGGACTTGCAGTCGCCGCGAGCCATCTGACGCAATGGGTTTGCTGTCTAAGGGGGTGTGCATGCACCTTCTGCCACTGCTAGAGTGCACGACTCCGTTTACCTCTCCAACTCCCTCTCCTTCTACTGAAGGGCACGACTCCGTTTCCCTCAACTAATTTCATTTGACTGTCACATGCCACGAGCTGATGGGGAGGGATCTAGACGCGCCTCGTACCCTCTCCAGTGCTTGAGGGGTGCTAAAGGCAAGCACCGGCGGCTGCTACCAGACTACCCTCCCTGGATTGATGACTTTCCCTCCATACGCCCAGACTACGGGACTCACTCACGCTTGTCTCCACTGGATGCAGTCACTAACTCATTCTGCTGCATCCGTGCTAACTGTAGCACCAATAGGGTGCTTTATAAATGGCATTTTAGGCACCTAGAACACCGATTTTGAGGTGCATTTGATGTGCCGGTTATTGTGCTAACCGTACCTTGACTGGGTGCAAGATTTGCACTCTAAATAGAGATCCTGTATCTACCAGACTCCACAGCTTTTGAGGCGCCTAAAAAAAATTGCATTCTAAATAGCGATCCTGCATGTACCGTACCAGACTCCACATTTGTGGGAGCTTCTGTAGTGGCCTTCAGCTGAAAATGGCAATACCTACCAGTATAGCATTTGTGTACCTGGAAGAAATGAAAGTACGACATTTTGTTACATTACTGATTGAAGTTACGTCATGACTCATGAACATTCCATTTGTGGTCGGCAACTACCGTAGTACATGTAGGTAACAGTGGGTAACATCAGACATAGAAGATATGGCGTGCACAATAATAATATAATACCGTAATATAACCATGTGAGCAGGATATGGAAAGAAGAACCAAGTGGGCTTGAATGGTGTCTGAACTTTGAACCCAACACTACACGCAACCAGCAGCAACACCAGCAGCATCGCTTGCAAAAGTCCTGTGGCCAGTGGATTCATAGCGATGGCTTCACGTCACTCAGTGCTGGTGGCTTGGCATGGTGTGATGACGCCAATGTGGCCCAGTGTTGGTGGTGCCCCAAGCGCCCTTCATGTCCCCCCTGCAAATGGCCCTCATGCCCTAGAAATGGCTTCACTTTACTCAGTGATGGTGGCTCAGCATGGTGCCAGCTGTGATGATGTCTGTGCGCCCTGGTGCAAACACAGACGCGTGCTGGTGGTAACCCACATGCCCCTCATGTCCGTGTGAATGCCTGTGTGAATGGTCGTGGTGGTGAAAGAGGTGAGTCAGAATGCCTAAGGCGCACAGAATCAGCAGTGCCTCCAGTTCACTCAGTGGTGGTGGCTCAGCATGGTGCCAGCTGTGATGATGTCTGTATGCCCCGGTGCAAACACAGAACCCGCATGCCCTGCATGCCCGTGTGAGTGGTGTCCGTGTGGGTGGTCATGGTGGTGAAAGAGGTGAGTGAGAATGCCCACAGCGCACAGAATCACCCCCACCACCAGCTTCTCATATCGCTCCAGCCACCCAAACTTCACCTGCAAAGTGAAAAACGGTAAAAAAGTGTTTGGGAGAGGAGGGGGTGAGCAGGACAGGAGGCCAGGAGGAAGGGAAGGTGGGAGGGGAAGAGGGAAGAGCATGACAGCCAGCTTCTTGTATCGCTCCAGCCACCCAAGCGTCACCTGCGACGCAGAGAAGGGAGAAGAGCACGGCACAAGCCAGCAGGGAGCATCACAAACAGACAAGTCAACCTCACCTGTGAGGCCCCAGAGAAGGAGAGTGCGACGAGCGCGAGTATGACAAAGAGCGTGCAGGCCAGCAGCACTGCCACTGCAATCGCCATCCAGCAGGGAGCGTCATACACAGTTCATATCATTTATCTCACCTGTGAAAGCAACCTCACCTGGGAAGCCCCATAGAAGGAGAGTGCGACGAGAGTGAGCATGCCGATTAGCGTGCAGGCGAGCAGCACCGCAGAATACAGCACGGAACATCAGAACCAGGCGAGCCAAGCTCACCTGTGAGGCCCCATAGAAGGAGAGTGCAACGAGGGTGAGCATGACAAAGAGCGTGCAGGCGAGCAGCACGGCCACTGCAATCGCCATCGTCCCCACCGAAGCGTCACTGATGGCCAGAAACACCGGGAGAGTCGTGGCACACGGGGAAAGCGCTGGCACCAGCACCAACCCCAGCACTGCTATCCTCTCCATCCCCTCCGGCTTCCCACTCGCGTTCGCGCTTTTCGACGAAGCAGCAGCAGAGCCACCAGGGGAGGAGGTTCCAGTGGCAGCAGCAGTGGCGGCGGCAGCAGCAGCCATGGTTGTTGGCAGGTGGGAGTGGGCGTGGCAGTGGGAGTGGGAGGGTTTTCCGCGGGTGAGGAGGAAGAGGGCGATGTAGCAGGCGCCGAGGAGGAGCAAGAGGAGGGACGCGATGGCTTCTACTGCCTCCTCCCCTGCGAGCGTGTGTGCCATGGTGACTGCGGTGAAGCCGAGGATGGACGTGGATAGCACGTGCAGGAATGCACCCAATGCCGCTGCAGGGAGGAGGGAAGGGGTAGGCGGGAAATGGGGGAGGAAGGAGGAAGGAAAAGCAGGAGGGTCAGGGCGAGGCTAGGGCTGAGCTGATAGACCATAGTTCCTCCAGGGTCGAAGGCATGCCTCAATGCTAGCCAGTGGCTGTGTGTAGGGTTTCGTCCATGGTTACCAATGCAGCCACAGTCAAATCAAAGCCCGGAGCGTACCCTCAAATCGAATTAATAGTTCAGGGCAGGCCAGGGCAAGGGGACAGTGAGACACGGAATGCGGACTGTGTAAAGGGGTACTTGTGACGACACGGCCAGGACGATATATGCTCCAGCTCGTTACAGCGTCGGGGACGCGCCTTACAAAGCGACCATGCGATTGCGATTGAATGCAGAAAAGATTCCCTTATGTATCGAGGAGGTTTAGACATGCTACAGTGCCGCTACGAACGGACGGAGTCGACTGTATGGTCCAATTCTGCACGCGATCGCGTCACTGAACGGCAGCCTATGCGTATCAAGCCGTTGCCTAAAATCGACTTTTGAGTCGACTCAAAAAACGACCTATGCGCAAGACTTTGCCAAAAAAAGCATGGTTAGAAAGCTACGGAAAGCATTGGAGAAATGCTTACTGATGGAGATCGATCGGCGGTGGTCCAAATCTGCTCGCATCCGGCTGTGAGAAGACTTAGAGTTCAAAACGTTTCCTACTAATGGAGATGCTCTGATGGATGGTTAGAATGTCCTCGTAACTGGTTGTGAAATGTCTCGGAATCAAAAGCGTTCCTTACTGATGGAGAGCGTCTGGTGGATGGTCCATTTCTGCACGCGTCCCACGACGCTGAACGGCAGCCAGTGCGTGGGGATGAGCGAGTGCACGAGCGACACCGTCGCGATGCCGCCGAACGTCGACAGGTTCGCCGCCGTCACCGCCATGATGGCTTTCTCGCCGCTACGCGCGCCGCTCGCGGGACAACCGCGGGACGCTCACGAAGCACTCGCTCGAGATGCGGATATCGAGTCTCGAGGGGTGGTTCAATAGGAGACGCGGTATCTGAAACCGCACGATCTAGTTCAGTCTAGGCTAGTGTCGGCGCGACACGCCTTTCAGTTGAAGGCGGACACAAAAGTCGTCCTGAAACATCCACCAGAAAAGCAAGGCGCTGGGAACTCCAACGGCCATGCTTGTGTAACTTGCGTGGCGAACAGATGACGATCGAAAATTGTTTCGCCTCACAAATTTCCTGGTTGGATCAGGGTTCGCACCATATCGGTCTTCGTTGTAGATGCGCTAACACCAGCCCATCGCTACACATCGATCTTGTAGGTAGAGTGATGCGAACTCGATCTCCATGTTTCGTCAACACCCTATGGTTACCAACATACAGCTTTGATGGCTCTGGTTGAGGCGCTTTTGGGCGAGTGCGTCAAAATTCGCGATATACAATGATCCGACTGCGGAAAGCAATTAAAGTCCAGCCAGCAAAACACGACCTGCACAAGGAGAGTGAATATACTGTACAGGGAGGACTGGTAGAAAATATCTATACCTTTCCCGCCAGGCGGAGCTTTTGCCGCCATGGCGTTTTCGAACTTCGTGCTTACGGTAGTAGGAATCGGCGCCGCCGTTCTGTTGCTCAAAGGAGACGTTAAGAGGACGGCGACGACGCTAAGACGGAACGTCAGGCAGATGAGAGTGTGGTTGGAGGAGGAAGAAGCGGCCGTTAAGAAGTGAGTCGCGTGGATCATCCGCTTAGGTTTCTTGTCGCGACGCGCGTGTGCGACGCTAGCTCTTTAACCGCTTCGCTCGCTCGTTAGTCGCTTCGCTCGCTCGGCTCTGCTCGCCGTCGCACCCGTGCGCTGCTCGCTTGACCTCCGATGCTGCTCGATCGATCCTCCTCACTCGCGCCGCGTTTTGTTTTGTCTTTCGTAAGGCTACGTCGCTGACTGCTCGTCGCTTCCCTGAGTCCAGTTGATTCGATTGTATCGAAATTCGCAGGTCGCTAAACGACACGCCGAAGCAGATCGAGCGGGAGGCAAAGGAGCCGGTTACCGGCAAGACTGACGGGAAGGCCGATCGGAGCTAGTCGGCGCCGTGGAATCCGCTCGTCCTTACCACCTTTCCGGTACGCGCATTGCACCACGTACAGAGCAGTTGTTACCAGCAAGGCTGATGGGAAGCCAATCGCGGCGCTGTGAGTTCTTCTCTTCCTTTCCACCCCTCTGGTACGCCGCGCATTGCGCCACGTCACCAGACAGACATTGACGGAAAACAATCGCGGTGAGTCACCGTGTCTCGTCGTGCGTGGCACTTTGAGAATCTCGTAAAAGTGATTCACTGCTCCCTCGCTGTCCTTGCCACTGGTGCTCGAACTGCGCCACGTCACCAGACAGACATTGACGGAAAACAGTCGCCGAGATCACCGTGTGCTCGTCGTGCTTCCACCGGTACTCCCACTGCGCCACGTCACCAGACGGAGCAAGAATCCTGGGCAAGACTGACTGTCAGAACTCGAAAAAATCGGTCACGGGCAAAGACTTGTGCATAGCGAACGCTGAGATTCACTGTGTGCTCGCGATTCTCCTGCTGGGCTGATCTTAAGACAGCTGCTTATGCGGTCATGGCTACTAGCTGCACTTGCAAGATTGTGTTCCCGAGCTCACCTATACGTTTGAGAATCAGAAGTGGGTCCACAAGCTCACTTGTACTACTGGTGTTTTTGAGAATTCTCCAAGACACGACTGTGCTCACGATTTCACTTGTACTCCCCCTTCCGCTTGTAAGAAATCTCATAACTCGATTCTGAGACGTCTCAAAACATGGAGGTCCAGCAGAGTTACATCCCCTTCCTCTCATCTTCCTTTCCCTCGCCACCCTCCACCTCCCCCTCCCCTTTCCTCTCCCCCACCTTCCCCCCCCCCTCCTTCCCTCCTCCCCACCCCTCCCTGCTGTTTCCGTCACACCCTGCATCCATAATGCGTGTCCACCCTGCTTTAATCACCTTTGAGAATTTTCAAAGAGACCTGCATGGCTGTTTCAACTGGGATCTTCAGAAGTACGATTCGAGGGACCTTTTTTATGCCTCTCTGTTGTTCACGTTTGCTTTCGCCTCACATGTGCCCCGCTCGTTCCACTTCCCCTCGTCCCCGGTCCCATGTTTCAGATACACCCTTTTTTTCTTTCTTGCAAGGTTCTACTCTTAAGGGGAATGGGCGAAGGTGCTGGTTTTGGGACGACTCAAAACTTCAACGGGAAGCACTTTGCGTCGGTGCTGCTAGTGTCCGTCCATCCCTACTCTCAAATTTCTTTCCATCCCAACTACTGCATTACCTCAGATCGATTGGATATCCCTAGGATAGGTTCTCGTAGGGATTAGACTTTGTGTCCGGCCGAGCCGTTTTACCGTTCTGTATTCATTGTACCGTAATGGCCCCGGTTGTCTATTCTGCTTTTCTTCTCCTGCGGTATGCTCTGTTCTTGTGCAGTGCAGCGAAAAGCTTCGGTCCTCCTACTGCGTTGGATATTGCCTACTGTTGGTCTTACTGCAGCTACCAGTAATATGTAGGTTTTTTCTACCTCTTTATGTGAATTATATCCATTACCAATATATTACAGCAAACATCATTAAGTGGGTGGTGGTGGCGAGGTGTGCCGTGCTGCCGTGATCCGATGGCGTCAATGCCGGCTGTGACACCGTCACTCCCCTTCACCTGATTGCAGTACCAGTACCAGTACCAGTACAGTACGGTAGATGCTATGCTACCCACTCCCATCATCCACAAGTTCCCTTCCATGGCAGTCTCAGACCCGTATGCCATCACTACACGGTGCACCCAAGGTTGACTGAGAAGGCACCCCTGGCGGGCGAAACAGGAAACAGAAAAAAGGGGGAAAGGGGGGGGGGAGGGGGAGGGGATGAGGGGCGAAGCAAGGGAGGGGAGGAGGGGGAGAGGATGACAGTAGCAAGAAGGAAAAATGCACAGCAGCTATGAATAGAATCTAGTAAGCAGCACTAACTGTCGCGGGTGTGAGGAGTTACTTTTTGGTGTGGGTTTTGAATGCGGGGGTAGTTGAGAAGGCCCAGATCATGGTGGTGGTGACACCCGACTCGTAAGAGACAGCCTGAGATGCCACGCCGCCCGCGCCCTTGCGAGTGAACCTGAATGTACCGACACGCACAGAAAAGAAAAGTAGTAATGGTACGAGCAGGGAACGCCGCTGAACAGTTTCTGATAGATAACTGGAAATCTGACAGAGAACAAAGGCAAATGGTTGTCGCACAGCGAAATCGAGTGAACTCACTTGATAATCCTGCCACCGCCGACGGAAACCACGGATGTATCCGAGAGAATCACAGCAGCTGTCCTTTTTATCCCGCTCAAGTTGTCCTTGGTCATCGAGTATGCCAGCACGTCGGTAGGCTTGACGGCCGTCGAGCCGACGACCACATGATTCCCCACCACGACGTCCGAGGGGAACATCATGCGGCCGCCCGGTTTGCCGCCCGACCAGCCAATGGACAGCCAGCCCTTCTCGCCGCCGCTACCCTTCTTCGCCTCGAGCGCTGCGATGATTCCGTCCTTGGCGTCGGTGATGTTCCAGTGGAGGAACAGGCTGGGGAACACGCAGTGGGGTGGGGTGAGGGAGTATGGGAGCCGAGAATGAGGAGGTGCGACTCGAGAGCTGCGATGGTTCCGTCCAGTGACTGGCATCGGTGACGTTCCAGAGGAAGAACAGGCTGGTGACGCAACGGGTGGGGAGTATCATGGGAACCGATAATGAGGGAGGAGCAACTTAGTGGTGACTCGAGCGCTGCGATGACCGTCCTTGGCGTCGGTGATGTTCCAGTGCAGGTACAGGCAGGGGAACACGTAGTGGTAAGGGGGGAATGGTAGTCGGGTGTGGGGAGTGGTCGTAGGTTGGGGAGTATTGGGAACTGACAGTTAGGAGGTGCAAGTTGGCACGAGTCAACAGTAGCGCAGACACGAGACCCGATGATTTCTTGAAGTGAGTGAGGGTACCCAGAAATGTGAAAGGACTTGGAGATTGTAGGAACAACGGAATATGATCGAAGACCAATCACGCACCCGTTGGCTATTACGACGGACTTGGAGTAGTCCTTTAGAAGCGGCTTCGTGCATTTAAGTAGCGGGGGCGGCTTAACGGTGGCGGCGGTGCTTGCCACATCAGCGTGAACTATGGGGCGAGGCTGAGGCTGCCGGTGTCGCCGCGCGAATGCGCCGCTCGCCGCGGCGAGGAGCAGAACCGCCGCGAGCGACGCAGCTGCTAGGACGGAGAAGCGGCGCGAGGAGGCCATGACGATGCAAGCGAGATGAATCGGATGCGACAGGCGGCGAGGAGAGGATGTTGGTGAGGTGTGGGTGAGAGCGGCGCCGGCCCGTGAGAGGCGGCGGTCGAGGAGAACCGTTCTACCGTAAGAGTGTGTCTCGAGTGTGTCTCGAGTGCGGCAAGTACGGTCGTTTTATAGTGAGCATCCAGCCACCCCCACGGCAAGTAATTTGCGAGGAGGAAAGCTCCATGACGCGCAGTCCAGCACCAGTACCACCTCTTCTAACCTCTCCTAACCGAGTCGTTTCTAGTGGGGCCAAAAAGACGGCAGACTCGCTAGCAGTGAGTGATCAACCCAGGGCTGGGAGCTTGATAACAAGCCAATGCTAGGACGACACATCAGCGCCAAAGGATCTAGATTGAAGTTCTGGTTGGTTCGTCCAATTGAAGCGGATAGTACGTGTGTAGCGCGAGGCGATAGGACGACGCAGAGCGCGCCACCTGGCACGGTGTGTGAGATCGGCGCGTGAGAGGCGGTTGAGGAAACATCCTCACGAGTGTGTCGTTAAAGTCGGCAAACACGACGGTTGGCGGGTCGTCAGTAGAGTGTCTGATTTGCGCCATGACGGTTCAAGCTGAAGTGGATAGTACATGTACACAACGTATACCCCACGTAAGGAGTGATTTTGCGCAATGATGCCGGATGCGACATACCGCAAAGAGCGCGCCACCTGGCACAAGAATGGCCGCAAGATCCTAGAGTCTACCAGGCGGGAAGTCAAGGATTTTGTCTCTCTCGCTTGCAAATGCCATCCCCCAATCAACCTCCTCCACTACAGTATAGCAAGCGAGATCCACCAGGTGGTGTAGGGGTATTCTGCAAATATTCCATAAGTTCATACGGTCTGAACGGTGAAATATGGTTTAATTGTTAAACGTTGCGATTCAGAGCAGTGACGATTCGAACCGAACCGATATTCCCAGGTTCCACGACCCAAGCGCCACTCTCGTGGAAATGGTTGTTGGGGGGAGAAATGGCCCGCGAGCCAGTGTCCCGTGGAAATAGTCGGACGACATTCGCAGGCGACAATGCTTTAGTGTCGCCAGGGTTACACTGCTTCGCATATTTGTCGCTCAAGCCCAAAATTGTGGCGTGGGAAAAAAATGCGATCGTGATTTCCATGAAAGGCGGGATGGCAAGTATGAATCAAGCAAGACAATTCAGTACCTACTAGGGCGGCATGATTTTGGTGATTAGTCCCTAGACCTCGGCACACAAGTATATCGCTTTAGTGGAGCTCAGAGCGTGGTGAACGAATCCGAGCGTCGCGCGGCTATTCCCAGCGTCGCGCGGCACGTCCCTTCCCTCATGCGGGCTGGAAATTATCTGTCGCGCTTGTGTTCGGCTGTTCCTCTCTCTCACGTGTAAATCCCTCGTTACTTACGCGTGAGTCGCTTCCCTCGCGCCGCAATTTCCTTCCCTTCGTTCCCACACGCTATGCCCATCTCCACACGCGGCCATTTCCTTTTCCACACAATCCCAACCCCTTCCGCACTCGCTCTGAGTGGGACGTGGGCATTCACATTAAATGATCCACTAACCTGTGCTAGAGTGGAATTTTGCGTGATTCTCTCAGATAGTAAGAAGCACGGTCAAGTACGGCTAATTCATGAATTTAGGGGTACTATTTCGACAACGCATTCGCCACTGCATCCGTAAAGAGGGCGAACGAGGGCGAAAATCTACATCCGTATTCGCTGTGTGACACAAATTCGTGAGTGTTGTCGCGAGAGTGACTATAGCCTCGCCTGCCCTCGCCTGCCCTCGCCTGCCCTCGCCTGCCCTCGCCTACCCTCGCCTGCCTCCAGGTGCGATCGCACCTCGCCGTGCTTCATGTCGTTGAGGCACCCATCACGCCTCCCCATTTGCTCCCCGCCTCGTCGCGCCTTCCCCCCTTATTCCGCGCTCCCCTCTTCGTGGCTCCCCTTGTCCTCCCCTCGACTCGCCTTCCCCCTCTCGTAACACCTCTTTTCGTCCCAACCCCCCCGTTGTCGCGCCACTTCTCGACGTGCTTCGTCGCGCCTCTCCTCCCCTCGCTCGCGCCTCTCCTCCCCTCGTCGCGCCTCCCCTCACTCGCGCGTCCCTTCTCTTCCCCATGTCATCACTGCCGTTCCCTTTCTGCTCTCACCAGCCTTCACACCTCCGCTCTTTCTTCCATTTGATTCCCTTTTATTCCCTTTTGAAACGTCTCTAAAGCCCTTTCCCATGTCGTCGCCGCTGCCGTTTCCTTTCCTTTCCTCACTCACCAGCCGTCACACCTCCGCTCCGTTTAAATCCCACTCCATATCCGTCCGTTCGTCTCTTCCAATTGAATTCCTTCCCTTACCTTCCATCCATTCCCGTTTGCCAAAGTTCCCCTCCTGTTCCTTCCCTTCCCTTCCCTTCCCTTCCCTTCACCTTTCCTCCATCTGTTCTCGCTTGGCATGGTTTCCCCGCCATCCCCCCCTCCCCTTGGCAGATCGAGGCGGACACAATGGGGCTTGGAGGAGAATTTACCAACTACTGCATTACCTCAGCTGAGATCAGATGGGTACCCTTAGCCTAGGTTCTCGTAGGGATTGGACTGTGCGTCAAGTCGAGCCACTTTATCGTACCATGTTCGTTGTAAATGGCCCCATGATCGTTGTGAATGCCCCGATTGATTGTTTTTTCTTCTCCTGTGGCATGCCCTGTTTAGCAGATTGATTATTCCTGTGCAGCTGAATGCTTCTGTGGAACCTGGCATGCATGCACACAATGTTGTTGGGCTGAACCATAGCTGGAAATAGGACAGTGCAGAGTTGGGGCCCCTACGATTGGCTTTTCTTTCATGCATGGTATGGCAGTCCTTTTGATATTGACCAGTGTTGATGGTCAGGATTGTCTACCTCTGTGCTAGTACCTAGGTCATGTTCACATGACTTGTCTCCATTCCCAATATATTACAACAAGCATCAGTACTCAACAAAAGTTGCCCGCTTCTCAACTGGTGGTGTGCCATTCAATGGCGTCAACTCCAGCTGTGTCACGTCACTCCCTTGCACCTGCTTGTAGTACAGTATGCGTTTATTGCCACACATTCCCATCATATCATTCACTAGGTCCTGTCCATCCCAGTCGTTGACCCGTATACCATGACTACACGGTGCACCCAAAGTTGACAGCGAAGCTACCCCTGGTGGGCGAAACAGGAACCGAAAATAAGAGGGGGAGGGGAGCGGAGGGGAGGGGGAGAGGAGGGGAGGGGGAGGGGAAGGAAATGTGCAGGGGTGGTGGTGAGGAGGGAAAAGGTGGGAGAAGGGAGGACAGCAGCAAGAAGACAAAAAGTACAGCAGCTATGGATAAAAAGCTTGTGCATAGTAGCACTTCCGAGAATTGTTACGCGTGTGAGGAGTTACCTTTTGGTGTGTTTGCCGAATGGCCTGGCTTTCGAGGAGGCCCAGATCATGTTGTTGATAACGCCCGCATCGTAAGAGACAGCCTGAGATACCGACCCGCCCTTGCCCGTGCGAGTGAACCTGAAATGTACCGACAGATGCACAGAATCAGCACGAGCAGGATGGAAGGCCTCAGGTAGTATGAGAACCCGCCAAAACTACAAGTCTAGTAAACCCAAAACTTGACACAGCGCAAAGGCGAATGATTGTCATGGCACAGCGAAATCGCGTGTACATCAATCGCCCAACTTACGTGACGACCGTGCCACCAACGCCCCGGAGGATGGATACATCCGAGAGCGTCAAGCCAGCCGAGTTGACCTTTGACTCAAAAGTCAACGCCGAACTTACTTGACAACTGTGCCACCAACGCCCCGGAGGATGGATACATCCGAGAGCGTCAAGCCAGCCGAGTTGACCTTTGACTCAAAAGTCAACGCCGAACTTACATGACAACTGTGCCACCAACGCCCCGGAGGATGGATACATCCGAGAGCGTCAAGCCAGCCGAGTTGACCTTTGACTCAAAAGTCAACGCCGAACTTACTTGACAATCGTGCCACCAACGCCCCGGAGGATGGATACATCCGAGAGCGTGAAGCCGCCAGCCGCCTTTGAATACGTCCAGTCGGTCTTGCCGGTCCACGAGTACGCCAGCACGTCGTTCGTGTTGCCCGTGAACCGCGACACGTGATTCCCCACCACCACGTCGGACGGAAACATTTTGCCGACGCTGCCCGTCCAGCCCACGGAGATCCAGCCCGACCCGGCAGTCTTGTCCTCTAGCGCTGCGATAATTCCGTCCTTGGCGTCAGTGATGTTCCAGTGGAAGAACAGGCTGCGGTGTGACGTAGTGGGGTGTGGGGAGCATGGTATGGGGAGTATGGGAGCCGAGAATGAGGAGGTGCAACTCGAGCGCTGCGGTGATTCCGTCCCTGGCAGAGGTGATCCTCCACTGGAGAATGAGAGAAAAGGCTGCGGTGGTAGGGGGTGGGGAGAATGGGTACCGACAGTGAGGAGGTGCAAGTTTGCCACGAGTCAACCAGTAGCGGCGCAGACACGAGATCCGACGATTCCGTCCTTGGCGTCGGTGATGTTCCATTAGATGAACGCTGCGGTAAACACAGTGGGATGGGGAGAATGGGAACCGACAATGAGGAGCAAGTTGCCAGCGCAGACACGAAATCCCGACGATTCCGTCCTTGGCGTTGGGAGAGCAGGCTGCGGTATACACAGTGGGATGGAGGGTATGGGAGCCGAGAATGGAGGTACGACTCGAGCGCCGCTGCGATAACCATGATGATGATTCCGTCCGTCGCGTCCGTACACGCAGGTACACGCAGTGAACGAACAGGCTGAGGTACACGCAGTGAACGAACAGGCTGAGGTACACGCAGTGAACGAACAGGCTGAGGTACACGCAGTGAACGAACAGGCTGAGGTACACGCAGTGAACGAACAGGCTGAGGTACACGCAGTGAACGAACAGGCTGAGGTACACGCAGTGAACGAACAGGCTGAGGTACACGCAGTGAACGAACAGGCTGAGGTACACGCAGTGAACGAACAGGCTGAGGTACACGCAGTGAACGAACAGGCTGAGGTACACGCAGTGAACGAACAGGCTGAGGTACACGCAGTGGGGTGATACATCGTCACGAGTCCGTTGATCCCGGATCGATAGTACCGTCACGGTAGCGCAGTCTCGGCGAAATCTGTTGATGTCACCGAAAATGTGCACGAGCTTCATCGCTGTGCGCGGTTTACTAAGAAATGTGTGCATATGCACCCGACTACCATACTTTGCTTGCAAACAGAACATATCATAAAAGGACCTCGGGATTTCAGGAACAACAGGATATCGCCGAGGGTCAGCCACAAACCTTTTGGCGAGCTTGACGGATTTGGCGTAGTCCTTGAGAGTCGACTTCGCGCAGGCAAGGGGCTTGGGGGGCTTAACGGCGGCGGTGCTTGCCGCATCAGGGCGGTGTCGCGCCGCGAATGTGCAGCTCGTCGCGGCGAGGAGCAGAACCGCAAACGACGCTGCTAGGAGTGGGAATCGCGAGGAGGCCATGATGATGTGAAGCGAGATGGTATGGAAGCGATAGGCGTGGATGTTCGGGTTGAAGGGCGTGTGAGAGTGGCGGGTGGAAGGTATGTGAGAACAACTGTGGAGTGTCACTCAACCCAACCCAGATGAGGCGACTACTGCTGAACAGGCTGGTCGGAGTTGTTTTGTAGGTGTGATTAGGCTCGGAAACACGCAGGTCGATCCTACGAAGGAGATTTTGCCGCAGGCGATCGGACGGCAGAGACCTGGCACAAAGACAGGGGGAAGATAACCCCAAATCACCAACTCCACCAACTGCTGACGTATACACCCTCCGTGTCCCTCGTTCCTGGTAGTTTTCCTTTGTGTCTCGGCTTCCAAGCATTTTCTATGCTATGGTTGACCCTCCCAAAACATGTGGTTGACTTTCCGAAAAATGCTTCTCCAGTGCAGCTCTCCGCATTGACAACTCGTGTTTGGAGGTTCGAACGACGGTCAGCTCCTTGTTTTCTTCTGTGTGTCAGCGCATGTCGTGACTCTCGTCACGCGAGCAGGTTCCCCGCCCCACCTGAACACCCCCACCCCCAATTTCCGCGTGGAAGCATCAGCGTCGCCACGAAAACATCTACAAAGTGAACCCCAACTCGAAAACACCTGACGTTACAGGTTTCCGTGCTGCGAGAAAGAAATCGCGTCGTTTACCCACCTGATCGCAACATAGAGACTTGCGAAGAGTTTCGTGCAAGCAAAAGTTGCACGTGTGCGCGACAATGCACATGTTTTGCGAAACTCGTGTGCGCAAACGAAACTCGTGTACTTTGCCTAAGGACGCGTCAACTCCTGCAAAATACGGCGATCGATCGTGCAATATCAAACGTCCACCGCATTGAAATCCTGCAATGACATCTATAATGTGTTAGAACCTCCTCTAACCAAGTCAAAAATCGAACCTGCGCAGAATCGATCGCCGTTTTTAGCAGGAGTTGACGCGTCCTAAGATCGTCCAGCGTCGCTAGCCAAACGAAACTCGTGCCTTCCCAGAAGCAATTCCGGTAGCACATTTATGCATCCGTTGTTCTACATACGCATAACCCTTTTTTTACACCATGCGTTCGTTATCCAACCATCAGCATGTGCACATACACAATACTCGTCAAACGTGGACGTTCAAGTTCTGGTTTATAAGCATGGCGTTATCACGAGAATATGCATGATTTCTCACAAACACTAATACAAGCATAAAAAATCAGCAACAAGGTTGCACTCTTCCCAAGCGGGTGTGGTGTGCCATAGTCTGTCGGCATCAACGCCGGCTGTGTCACGTCACCCCCTTAGAGCTGATTGTGGATGCTACATTCCTACTATATACTAGCACAGTACCATAATTCGAGTCATAGTTGTTGGAGATTGCGAGTGTTGGAAGCAAGGTGGTGGTGGGGCGTTTGTATGCCCCCAACCCACCGAATGTGTGTCTTGTGCTCACCTTCGAGTGAGTTGCAGGTTTGCGTGGGGTTGAGGATTGACTTCGGAAGACCCATTCGATTCGGTGCCACATGGCAGCACCAGGAACATTCGAGACCCAAGGAGAATTCGGATCGGTGAAATTCGAGAGTCGAATTTCACCCTTTCGATGTTACTCGAACATTCGCGAGTGTAGCGGTTCGAGGTTATTTGTGCGATTCGATCTTGTTTGCATGCTATAAATCTGTTTTCTTTGTATTGCATGCTATCATAGTGAAACTCAGAGTTCTTTGTACAAGGTACATTCGAACACAAATTCCAGAGAGCTTCTTTACTTGCATTCAAGAGCACCACCTAGCACGTGAACGCCTATATCTCGGAGAATACTTAGGCGATCGACGTGTTTGACGGCTCGTTGGAAAGCTAAGACAGAGCTCTATCGTTTACAACAACTCCCAGTTCCTGCAAAATAGAGGAGAGTCCTCTACAACAGTGGTATCAGAGCTGGTCGGAGGAGTCTACACGCGCGACAAGGAGCAAGCATGATGACGTCAAGCGAGGCCTCCCGCACTTCCTTGGATGGTGTCGTTGTAAATTCCGGCGAACCCTGGGCAACCGCGACGATGTTCGACACGTCGGCGGTACCGATTTTCACGGGACAAAACTACTCCGCGTGGAAGTTTAAGTTCCAAGTGCTCATGATGGAGCGGGGACTTTGGGGTTTCTTCGATGGAACGGAGAAGAAGCCGGATAGCGAGAGCGACATCGCGGCATGGAAGAAGAAAGACCAAAAGGCGTTCGCTACGTTGATTTCGCGCATCGGCATCAATCTCGTGAGCTCGGTGCGCATGTGCATCAAGCTCGAAGCGTCGGAGCATGAAGCTTGGAAGCGGCTCGAGACCATCCACGTGAACAAGACTCTCCACGGCAAGATCCTAGCCCGGAATGCGTTCTACACGGTGAAGATGCGCGCGGGCGAATCGATGCACGAGTTTGCGACTCGTGTGGAGGAACTCGGGGAAACGTTCATGGACCTTGGTGGAACGGTCACGGAGGAAGATTGGATTCTCACCTTGCTTTGCGGCCTTCCGGAAGAGTGGTCGACGGTGATTACGACACTCGATAGCGTGCAAGACACTTGGACGAAGGAAATGGTGGTCGGTCGGCTTCTCCATGAAGAATCGCGTCGCCGACAATTTGCTAATGAGAGCGAGGGTGCCGCCATGTACTCAGGAGGGAGTTCCGGAAAAAAGTCCAAGTGGAGCAAGGGCGCAACGAAGGAATCGTCCGGTGGGAGCGAGCATCGCGGCAAGTGTCACTATTGCCACAAACCGGGACACTTTTGGCGTGAGTGTCGAAAGCGGCCGAGCGATTGGACTCCATCGATGGCGCGGGACCAAGAGGGCAACGCGCACACGGCATCCGGCGAGGCCGATGATTCAAAGGAGTCGCTCGTGTTAGTGGCCGGCAACGGGAACAAAACTCGAAGCAACGCGCACACGGCATCCGGCGAGGCCGATGATTCAAAGGAGTCGCTCGTGTTAGTGGCCGGCAACGGGAACAAAACTCGAAGCGACGCGTGGTTCCTCGATACCGGCGCAACGCAACACATGACGCACTCGGCGTCGCTCCTCAACAACATTGGCGCTCCGGGAGACGTAACGAGCATCGTGTTCGGAAACAATGAATCGCTACCGGTGGTCGGAGTTGGGAGTACGCGCCTCATCGTCGATAGCGGTCCGGTGGACGTGACGAACGTGCTTCACGTCCCGGGGGTGAAGGTGAACCTTCTATCTGTCCCGCAACTTGCGAAGAAGGGAGTGATCGCCACGATCGACGGTGCGAAGATGAACCTCTTTTGGAAGGGGGAGCAATTCGCGCAAGGTGTTCTCAACGGAGATATCTACCAACTCAAGACATACCCGAGAGCGGCTTCATCCAACGTGGCGCAAGGCTCCAAGGCGACTCTCAAGGCGTGGCATAATCGGCTTGCGCACTCCAACTACGACTCGGTCAAGGAGTTGGCCAACAAAGGACTTGCGAAGGGAGTCGACGTGATCGCCGGCGACGACGCGAAGGGCGTGTGCACGGCGTGTCTCGAAGGAAAAATGGCTCGGAAGCCATTTGGTAGCCGTACCTCTCCCCTCGCTAAGGACCCGCTTGCACTTGTTCACATGGACGTGTGTGGACCGATGCGGTGCGCATCAAAGGGAGGAGCACGGTTCCTCTTGGTGATGCTCGACGACGCGACACGGATGTGTTGGACCCGACTCTTGAAGGCAAAGGGCGATGCGGCCAAGGCGATTCAAGAGTGGGCACTCGATGTTTGCGACGACGACAAGAAGCGGATCAAGTGTATTCGTACCGACGGAGGTGGCGAATTTGTGAACAACGAGCTCGAAAAGTGGATGAAGAGCAAGGGCATTAAGCACGACGTCACAACACCCTACACACCCCAACAAAATGGAGCGGCGGAGCGGCTTAATCGCATGTTGGTGGAAGCCGTTCGTTCTCTTCTTCAACACTCCAAGCTTGGGCAAGAGTGGTGGGGCGAGGCGAGTTCGCTAGCGGCGTGGATTCGCAACCGTTTGCCGACGAAGGTGCTCCCGGGAATGACTCCGTTCGAAGCATGGACCGGAACGAAGCCGAACCTATCCCGCCTTCGCACCTTTGGGTGCCTTTGCTACTACCATGTACCGGATCCCCTTCGCCACAAGTTGCAACCGAAGGCTCGTGCGGCAATCTACTTGGGAATTGCGGCAAACGAGCGTGCATGGCGAGTGTGGGACTTGGGTGAAAAGTGCGTCGTCACGTCTCGGGACGTGGTCTTCGATGAAGACAAGTTCCCGTCGAAGGAGAAACCCACTCAACAACTCACCTTCATCCTTCCGCCACGAGAGGAGGTTGAAGAGAGTGAGACTCCACCTCAAGTGGAGAAGGAAGCCGATGGAGTGGGAGCGAACAACGAGGAGAGCATTGATGATGTCGTGGAGGTGTCACCAACCGAGGCGGCAACTACCTCCACACCTTCCTCCCTACCATTGGCCTTGACCCGCGAGCGTCGTGAGGTTCGTCCTCCCTCCAAGTACAACGACTACGCTACGGTAGCCGTTGGGGAGACGGATAAGGAGGGCGCGGCATTTTGCTTCGCAACCAAGGGTGATGATGAACACGCGAAATCTCTCATGGAAACCACCCCCTAAAGATTCATCCCGTGCATGCTATGAGCATGTTGGTTTGCACACCTAGTGGGTTGGGTGCAAGGGGGAGTGTTGGAGATTGCGTGTGTTGGAAGCAAGGTGGTGGTGGGGCGTTTGTATGCCCCCAACCCACCGAATGTGTGACTTGTGCTCACCTTCGAGTGAGTTGCAGGTTTGCGTGGGGTTGAGGATTGACTTCGGAAGACCCATTCGATTCGGTGCCACATGGCAGCACCAGGAACATTCGAGACCCAAGGAGAATTCGGATCGGTGAAATTCGAGAGTCGAATTTCACCCTTTCGATGTTACTCGAACATTCGCGAGTGTAGCGGTTCGAGGTTATTTGTGCGATTCGATCTTGTT